TATACATATTCTTCCTAATCTCCAGTTTTTATAAATCTATACACATCTCTCATTCTTACTTTGATCTCTCCTTTACAGTCTGAAAAAACTCATTCATGAGAAAACTTAACAGCTTCAAAGTCATGAGTATGACTTATTCTACCACCCATAATTACCAACCTTTCCTGAACTTACTTTTCATTAACCCATAAAAACTGTGTAATATAATAAACTACTCCACTATTAATTTTATATATCTTAAATACTTCTTATAAATTTCAAAAGGTAGTGATTTTCACAGTCCAGGATTTGACAGTATACATTTAACTCTGAAATACAGAAACTTGGACCCTGTAAAAATAACATTTTTATGCCAGGTGGTCTATAAGGCCTATAACATCACATGCTAAATCCTGCAACAACTGTCAGATAAGTACCATTATTAGGTCCATTTAATTTTTTTGAGATAAACTGTACCTAAAAGTCATAATTTTAACAAATTTACTATGTATAATGGGATGGAATGTTGTACATGCCTATTACACAACCTTCACTACCTTACTTCTAGCTCCAACACTTTTTTATTTCTTTAAGACAGAATATCACTATGTAGCTCAGGCTGGCCTTGAACTCACAGCAATCCCCTCTCATCCTCCCAATTGCTGGGATTACAGGTGTGTGCGACAATGCCTTTTTTTTTTTTTTTGAGATGATGTCTTGGTTTGTTCCCTAGCTAGTCTAAACTCAGCTCAAACAAACCACCTACCCACTCAGGCTCTCAAGCAGCTGAGACTCCAGGTGTGCCACCACACCAACTTCTAAATGTTTTCAACAACCCAAAGGAGACCCTTCCTTAGTAAGCAGAGACATTCCATCTCTCCCTTTCTTGCCACCTGAAACCATTAATCTACTTCCTGTGTCCATAGATTCATTGATGATGGTTTCATATAAAAGGGCCTGCACGTTAAGTCCTTCTGTGTCTAGGTTCTTTCACTTAACGTATTATTTTTAAGGTTCATCTATATTTGTGCATGTTTTATCTTTTTGAGACAGGGTCTTACTATGTCGCTCAAGCTGGCCTCGAAATCATAGCAATCCTCCTTCCCAAATGCTGGGATTACTGGCTTATACTACCATGCCCAGCAATGCAGCACTTTGTTTTTAAGGATGTATGGTATCCAATTGTATGAGCATAAAACATTAGTCATCCCTACTTGGAGTGTGAGCTTCTCAATCCTTTTAGAATTCATGCTTTCATCTAATCTAGGTAGATTTTGGCTGTAATTTCTCAACTATTCTTTCCATGCCATCCTTTTCTCTTTCTCAGATTCCCACTGTCTGCACACTGGCATCCTGCGACAGTATTCCTAGGTCTCAAAGGCTCTATTCATCTATCTTCTGCGGCTTTCTTTTTGTTCCTCTGAATGGATAATTTCTTGAAGTTCATTCTTCAGCCTGCTCAAATCTGCTATGAACCTGTTAGTCAATTTTTTGTTTCAGTTAATACACTTTTCAGCTCGATGATTTCTATTTTATGCCTTTGTATTTTTTATATGTCCTCCAAGTTTCCTTTAACTCTTCATTAATGCTTTCCTTTAGTTCTCTGAGCAAATTTAAAATAACCCATTTAAATCTTAGCTAAGTCTAATGCCTGTGTTTCCTGAGAAGCACAGTGCTTTTTTTATGCCGTACAAATATGCCATTCTTTGCTTCTTTGTATGTCTCAGAGTTTTTGTTGAAAAGTGAACATTCCAGATTCTACCACCTCTTTTGAGTCTAATGTGGCTGTCGTTCTTTTCACTGCTTAGTAATTTTTATAAATTATTCTTGTAAACTCTGTATTTGTGGTCCTATGTGGCTACAGGGTCTATGTTCCTTGAGCTAGTGGTTAACTACTATAGTGTTTGGACAAAGATTTCCTAAAATACCAGGAGCCAAAACAGAAAAAGAAAAAAAAAAAAAAAATACTTTCTAGGTTTCTGCAGACTGGGGTAGCCTTCAACATTGAGCTGGGCCAAGCAAAGCCCTTTTTCCTTCCTGCTCATGCAGAGCCTGAAGGTCAGTAAGCAAAGTCTCAGGTCATTACAGGCCTTTTCTGAGCATGTTTTCAGGTCTGAGCGAATGTATGGCCTCCTCCAACCCCGGGTACATACAGGAAGTTTTCAAAGGCTTCCTATTCCCATCCGCGAGCTAAAATAACTGCAGTCTGGTAATCCAGTCACTGGTACTGAGAAATGTGTGCTACAAGGGTATTTTTGTTTCCAATACATTCTGTTTTTAACTACGCATGGTTATAAAACTAAAGATATTTTTATCATACAATCAGCAATTGCACTTTTTGGTATTTGCCTCAATGAACTGAAAATTTATGTCCACAAAAAATTTGCACATGCTTTATTAATAATTGCTAAAATATGGAAGTAAACAAGATGCACTTCAATAGGTAAATGTATAAACTGTGATAAAGTCAAACACTGGAGTATTATTCACTATTTTAAAAAATGAACTATCAAACCACCAGAAGACACAGAACTGTAAGCACATATTACTAACAAAAAGAAGACAATCTCAAAAAGCTATGTATTTGTATGATTCCAACCAGATAACATTCTGGAAAAGGTAAAACTAGAGAAATATCAAAAGAAAGAGTGAGCTCAAATGTAAACTATGGACTTCAGCTGATGCTGTGTGAATGTTGGATTACCAGCAAATACACCTCAACAGGGCAGTGTGTTGGTGGTGAAAGGCTAGATGTGGAGGTATGGATGGCATGTGGGAATTCCTTTTACTTTTCACTTAATTTTGTTCTAAATCTAAAACTGCTCTGAAAAATAAAATTATTAATTGTATAAAAATTATTATGACAGTGGGCATGATGGCACACAGTTGTAAACCCAGCACTTGGGAGGCTGAGGCAGGAGGATTGCCAGGAGTTTGAGGCCAGCCTGAGCTACACAGTAAGTTCAAGGCCTGCCTGAACTACATAGTGAGATGCCATCTTTAAAAAAAAGGTTATTTGTGCTTGATATTCAATAGGACAATCTTTTAACCAGCTTTTTTCACTAGAAAACAGGTTCGGGGATTTAGCTCAGCGGCAAAAGCGCCTGCCTGCCTGGCAAGCACAAGGTCGTGAGTTCGGTTCCCGGTACCAGAGAAAAACCAAAAAAAAAAAAAAAAAAAAAAAGAAAACAGGTTCAACCCTTGAATTCAAAATATGCTGTGTATGTAACATAATGAATAAAGCACAAACAGCCAATATACAAACGTCAGTTTACCTTCAAAGATAACTTTTAGATACAATTTGCAATAAACCACATAAAACCACATAAAATTTGTTTTAAATGATAACAGCCATTGTCTGTGACGAAAAAAGGAAACCCACTTTCTGAGGACCACAAATTGGTATAATTTCTCTGCAGGGAACTTTGAAAAAGCATAGAAAAAGAACCCTTAAACTGTGCATAAACTTGGACTCAGTAACTCCTTCTCTAGAAATGTATCCTGAAGAAAAATATAAATGTGCACAAAGATATAACTAAACATTATGAGTATGACCTCATCCAAAATAGTGAAAATTTGGAAATAATGTAATACACACCAATTGGGAATTAATTAATAAAATCATGCCCAACTAGAATAGTAGGTAGCCACAAAAAGGTGACATAACAGTCAATATAGCAACTTAGTTATAAAAAAATTACACAGATATGTATTAATCTCATTTTGGTTAATATACATGTGTTTTGCGCAATCACACCAAATAGCTAAAACTAGAAAATAAAGGATATTTAAGTTGTAAAATTATTAATTTTTCCCAATAAAGAGTTCTTCTGAAAGCAAATGCCATTATAATATTCATGACACCATTTAAAATTACCAAAAAATGAATACATAAAATGCCCAGAATGGGAAATTTGTTAAATTGTGATAAATTCATACAACAAGATACTATGTAGGCATTTAAGTAACGATGTAATATAACATTTACTAAACTGGAAAGATTTCCATATGCAATATGCTATAAGCTTTATGCCTTGTCAGTCATACCGTAAGATTCAATTTAAAAAATAAATTAAATATAAAGTGCAATAACTAAAAGACTAAAAAACAAATGTTTATAATACAGGTACATATAGTAATACTGACAATTATTTTCTTTTTGCCTATTTTTTAAAAGTTTTTTATTTTAAGGGCCGGGGATATAGCTCAGTGGCACAAGTGCCTGCCAGGCAAGTACAAGATCCTGAGTTCAATTCCCGGTACCAAAGGGGAAAAAAAAATCCTGAAAAAGTTTTTGATTTTACATATATATAAACATACACACATTTAGTGGCAAGATTTTCTTGAAAATGAACATCTGTTAAAAAAAAAAAAACTAATGAAGACAATGATGCCTAACTCATTTTCAGGTTAAAGTTTTTTACAGCTAAAATTGGTCCGGGGATAACAGGCACATTTTGCAAAGTGACAAAATAAGGACTTCTGCAAATCCAATCATCCACAAAAGCAAGGAAAACTAGCAAAACTCTTTTGGAACTTTGGAAATGAAATAGACACACAACAATCTAAGAAGTATTTCTTCAAGAAAACAACTGGATCTCAGAAAAGCAAGCTTGTAAAATTTCTGTTCATCCTAATTCTATTCCTTTCTTCCAACTCCTTGAAACCAAAGTCCTTGACACATGACAGTATGAAAAACAGCCCTATGGCAGCCATGGGAAAAAGCAAAACAGGTTTGAGGATCCCTAAAAGATCAATCATGGCCAGGCATGATAGCACACACCTGTAATTCCAGCACACAGGAGGCTGAGGCAGGAGGATCACCATGAGTTCAAGGCTAGCCTGGGCTACATAATGAGTTCAAAGCCAGCCTGAATTACAGAGTGAAAACCTGTCTCAAAAAGAAAAACTAAATAACCTCCATCCTCAGGGCTTGTCTATCTGACCTGACTCACACCACTCAGTGAACAAAACCTGGTTCTCAGGGCATCTGTCAACAGCACTCAGGAGCAAGTGCTCCAGGTCACAACTGCCTGATAAGACATTAGCAGCTGAAGCTATCATGTGACTGACTACAAACTTACATGGAAAAGCTGGACAATGAGATGTTTATAGGGACACTGAAAAGCATTCCAATGGCCACATGCATGTACAGGCACAGGTACATACTCCCAGAGCCATCCAGAGCCCAGGAGACCAGAGAAGGCCCCAAGCACTCAACTCTGGCCACCCTAAAGGCTCTGTGCAAGCAGGAAGAAAAGGCTGAGACAGAGTAGTCAATACTGAAAGAAACTACACATGAGGCCACGTATGGAGTGATTCCATTACATAAAATGTTCAGAAAAGAAAAATTCAGAGCAACAGAAAGTAGGTTAGTGACTGCCAGAGACTAGAAGGGGCAAGGAATGCGAAGTGACTGACCATGGGTTCTGGAATCAGCTGGTCACACAACTTGCAAACATACTGAAACCTTACTACACTTTATGCTGCAAAAGCATGAATTTTTGATATGTGTACTGTGTCTTAATGAAGTTATATAAAGTGAAAAGCCTTAATCAGCTTTATAAAAAAGCAGAGCCAACAGATAAATATCTTATTTCCCCTATATTTTTAACTTTCTGCAAAAGTTTTGAGGAATTAATCATTATGAACTAAATTGTGAAGCCTCCATATAACACATTTATAAAAAGTTAAAGCGTATTTATAGCTCCTGGCCTTATTTCAACTTCCCAAACTTTCTTCCAGTTATACTATATCATATATAATTTTAAACAGAGTTTTAAGGTCTTTTTGAATGAGTTTCTTCCCATTGACAAATACTTATTGGGGGGGAATAATTGCTAACACAATATAGGGTTCACTGCAGAAAATACAGAAAACACAAAGAACGAAGTAAAAATCGCTTATAATGTCATCTACAGACAGTCATTATTAACATGTTGGTGTACAGCCTCCAGGCTTACATTTCTTTTTAAATGTTAGCTTAGTGAAAACAAACTACCTGAACATTAAAATATATACTGAATGCCACAAATCCCCAAATTCACTTACAGTTCGTTCTCCAGTAATGGTAAGATTTGTTCCATTCTCCTTAGCCTTTAAACATGACAAAAAAGAAAATTAATTCATAATAATTTATTTTACTCTCAGAAATACGTAAGGAAAATAATTACCTCCTGTTTTTCTCCTAAAAGAGGCAGCCGATGCACTGACTCCCCAGAAAAAACCTAAAAAATAAACACAAAACTAAATTAAAGATGTATGAACAGTAAAGGGAAAGGATAGTTCAAAATACCCAGAAATGGCTAAAGCAAAACATAATGCCATAACAGTTAATAAAGTAACACAGCCGGGCATGGAGGTGCACTCCTGTAATCCCAGCACTCAGGAGGCTGAGGCAGGAGGATCACTGCGAGTTTGAGGCCAGCCTGGGCTACACAGTGAGTTCAAGACTGGCCTGAACTGCATAGTGAGACCCTGTCTCAAAAGGACAAAAAAAAAAAAGTAATACAGCATTAGCAGACAAGATTCCCTATTAATGACAAAATGAACAAAACTTTGCTAAGAACTAAAAAATATCAAAGCAAATTGGCCAATTTTTTTTTTTACCATATAAACCTAACAATATTTAGGAATGACAAAAACCTAAGATTATGATATATGCATAGGATGAAAGACCTTAGAAAATCTCTCATTCTACAGATGAGGAGAATAAGGCTTCAAGTCAGAAAACTGTAAATACAGAAATGGATTTGAACCTGACTCCTGACTCTTAGGTCCATTATTCCTTCCACAACACACTCTTTGATTGTAAAAATGTTACACTAATGACTCGTATTTGCCTTGTTATTAGACTGTGTAACTCAAATCTCTGTTAGACTGCTGCAGAGTAACCCTTACTAACAGGGCACAGGGGCCTGGGGATTTAGCTTAGCGGCACAGTGCCTGCCTGGCAAATGCAAGGTTGTGAGTTCAATTCCCGGTACTGGAAAAAAAAAACAACAAAAAATAACAGGGCAGGGTTTGCTATGACTCCAGAAAGATCACAACTGATCTGAAGTAGAGAACCTCATGCAGTAAAATGCAACAGGTCACTTTCCATAATCAAATCTAAGAAAGACCGACCAATCCTACTAGCCTTATGCATTATTCAGAGAACCAACAGAAAACATACAAACTATTTAAAACTGCATTGCTTCTGGTTTTCTTTTTCTACTCTTCTACCATTTTAAAGCTATTTTCTTTCCCCTCTAATTCCATAAAATCTAAGCCATGACAACAGCCAAACTCTTACAATTCAATGATCAATTACTTTATGTGATTAGCAATTACTGATTATTTTAAAATCTTATAAACACTACTTCTAGTGACAACACAGAAAACTTATGCTTTCATAGAACTCCTTGCCACTTCAAGGCAACTTACTAAATATTCCCCTACACTGGAGATTGAACCCAAGGGCTCCCGCATAATGGGCACATACTCTACATCAAGTTATAACCCCAGCTTTTCTTCTTCCTCTTTTTTTTTTATTTTATTTTGAGACAAGGTCTTGCTAAGTTACCCAGGCTGATCTCAAACTTGTGATCCTCCTACCTAAGGCTTCTGAGTAGCTGGGATTACAGGCATATGCTACTATACTCAGGTCCAAAGCAATTTTTAAAAACAATAAAGACAAAATAACTATTTCAATACCTACAAAAATTTTGCCATCAAAAAACTGGTGTTAGATCCTGTTACTAAGAGAACACAATTTCATATCAGAAACTATATTAAATTATTATGTATGTGTAAGTATTAAAAAATATTCATCTCCTTTCTCCAAGAAAGGTATAAAATTCAACCCTAAGGCAGGGATACCCTTTTGACTTCAAATTTCTAACAGTAATATCTAAAAATTCTGACTTTTCTAGGGACATATTAATCAGATGTGACAAGAAAATTAAAAATTTGAGGTGCTAAATGTCCATTCACATATGAAAGGATAAATATGATGTATACAAGTAATGGAATATAATTTAGCTTAAAAGGAAATGAAATATTACAACATAAGTGAACCTTGAAAACATTATGTAAAGTAAAATAACTCAATAAAAACTGTATGATTCTACGTATATAAGGTATCTAGAACACTCAAGTGGTTATAAGGGACTGGCAGTGGATGTAAGTGATTATTTAATGGGTATGGAGTTTTAATTTGGGGTGATGAAAACTCTGCGGATGGATGGTGGTTACGGCTGCCTAACAACGTGAATGTAGTATTTAAATGTCACAGAATTATACATTAATTTACACATTAAAGTTATACATATTTAGCCGGGCATGGTGGTGCACGCCTGTAATGCCAGCACTCAGAAGGCTGAGGCAGGAGAATTGTTGCAAGTTCGAGACCAGCCTGGGCTACAAAGGGAGTTCAAAACCAGCCTGAACTGCACAGTGAGACCCCGTCTCAAAAAGACAAAAAAAAAAAAAAAAAAAGTTATACATATTTTATAACAATAAGAAAAACCCTGCAGTTTGCTTTTTATACACAAAGTAAAGAAAGTACATACTCTCCTAATAAGATGAACACATAAGTGGCTGACTATGCACTTATTAGACTAAGATCCCAGCTGGGGATATAGCTCAACGGCTATATGGCAAGTACAAGGTCCTGAGTTCAATTCCCAGTTTAAAAAAAAAAAAATACACCTAAGATTTCAATTCATTTCTCCTTAACTGGCAGGGAAATAGACACAGAAGAAAATACAGGCAATTACATTTTTTAACCTCTTAAATTTCCCTTCAAATACTTTCGAAGATTACCTGTGTTTTAAAGAGTTCACTGCAGTTTTGGAACAATTTTGATGATGTTTGGTATTTACCAGATAAGTCTCTTTTTTCCTTAAGTTTTTCCAAGTATGTCTCTACTTCTTCTGCCTGGGAGAAAAAGGAAAATATAAAATATTTAACTTAGTTTTCACAAATAAGATATGTAAACACTAGCAAATTGATCACCCGTGGTACAAATGTAATTTTGAGTCTACTATTTCAAAAGTTTACAGCATCAAGCCAGGAGCGGCAGCACACATCTGCAATTCCAGCTACTCAGGAGGCTGGGGTAAGAAGACTACAAATTTGAGGCCAGCCCGGGCAACATAGCAAAATTCTACATCAAAATAAAATTTTAGAAAGGGGTGGGGATGTAGTTCAATGAATAAAAACAGATCAGAAAAAGACTATAATCATATCCAAAAACCTAACATTGGCAAAACTATAAACTGCAGAAGTCTTATCTTTAGCTCATAAACGGTAGTAATTCTAGAAACACTGGGAAACTGGCAGAGACCAGAAAGTTTTGGTCACATGAAAATATATTTAAAAGTTAGCTGTCAAACACACAAGCTTAAACACTGCATGGTTTGTCTTATATAAGAAGCCTGGAGTATAAATAAATTAAAGCACAAAATAAAAGATAATAGGGAAAGAGCACAGATATTCTGCAAATGATAAGGGGAAAAAGAAACAGACGAGGGAGAAGGGAAGGGGAAGTAAAAAGAATTAAGATGTGTTATGTACAGGTATCAACTCCCCAAGATGAATGTTATCATTATGTACTGCAAACATGTACTAATAAAATGTTACCTAAATAACACCAACAAAAAGATACTTGTACTCAGAAGCTAAGACCGACTGCAAAACTACTGTAGCCATTCATAGCCCCAAACCTAATTCCTGTGACTTTACCTATCAGTCTGCGATTTTTCTTATACCCATATGTCTGATCTTGCCCTCATTAGAAAAAAACTCCAGTACCACATCCTACTTCCTATTGTCATCTCCACAATTTATCCTGTATCCAAAATAATTTCCTGGGGGCTGGGGATTTAGCTCAGTGGCACAGCGCCAGCCTGGCAAGCGCAGGGTCATGAGTTCGATTCCCGGTACCAGAAAAAAATTAAGAAAAAATATTTCCTACAAAGAGAGGATCTGCTAAACTTGACCCAACTTCAAATGGCATGAACCTTTTACTGTAAATTCAATTAGTAAACAATGAAGAGAAAAAGATCACTGATACCTCAAACCATACTCATTTCTAAATTTTTCAGTCTTTTCATTCCTACCATATCAATCACAAAACAGTCAGGTAAAAACCTAAGCAGAGTCAAAATGTTTACTTTGGTTTTTTTTTGTTTTTTTTTTTTAAAGACCAACTTATCTTTGTAAAGAAATTTCAATAGGAAAATCTGGTGAGGAGAGTGGGGCATGACACAAATGGATAGAATCCCAGGGTGGAAACAATGAAAAAAGCCTAACAGAGCAATGCTCAAGTATTATATACTATAGCAACTCTCAAAGATTGGTCTTTCACAAAGTGTAAGAGGTCAAAACTATCTGCCTTGAAATGATGGCATAAAAACAATGATGGGTAAATCATTGCCCCTTATCAGGGACCAAGGCAGTGGCAAGAAACTATACTAGTAGCTCTACTCTTCACAGTCATAAGCTCACAGGGGGGAGAAAAGAAGTTTTGTAATAGAATATCCTTGGTGAAATGGTAAAAATTAGTAATGCTATTAAATCTAGATCTGTGACACCATGCCACTTTTAATAATCCACATGACAAAATGGGACTTTGCAACTATTTTGTTGTATAACTAAACCAGCCACTTTGTTTTATTTGAAAGAATAACTCACTACAGTTATCAGACTTGGGTTACTCCCCTGAAACTGGGCTATAGTTTAAACAAAGGGAACAGACACACCACTACAGTAACCAGTGGTAAAATCTGAGCTTTCAAACAAGAACGGGAATTTTAGAGAACATTTATCTGTTACTATGAACTAAATAGCTTTTAACACTTAAGAAACTACTGATAAGATAGGGAGGAGACTAGGAGGTGGGAGTTTTAAGTGAATATAGACTTTGATGTAAAATAAACTGTTTTAAAGATTTATATAATGATGTCAACCAGTGTCTTCTAAATGACCAAGGAATGATGCTATAAAATCATGTACATGTAGAAGATCCATTCAAAGTGCAAGACATAGTGCATTTTGTACTACAGATTAAAAAAATTTATTAATATGATTTCAGATTCTACCGTTCATCTACAGCCATACCACCCTGAACAAAGCCGTTATCATCAGATTCTACAGTTCAACCTTTAAGCAATTCTCATTTATTGAGTTTTGGTACAGTGACAAAGAATAGCTCCAATTATCTGAAAAGATCATTAAAATACCGTTCCTTTTTCTAACTATACAACTGTGTGAGGTCAAATCTTTAACATGTACTTCAACCAAAATAATGCATCACAACAGACTGAGTAAAAAATGATGTACTATAAGAAACCAGCTGTTTTGTTATGCCAGACTTTAATTACAGAGATCTACAAAAATGTAAACAATACTTTTTTCTCTTGAACAAGTTATTTTCATTGTATGTATTTATAGTAACACATAATGAACTCATTAGTGCTACTTTTACATAAGTTATTTTTTTTATTTTCTCAATTTTAATTTCTAAAAGAGAAACCCACATAAACAAAGGCTTTTTTGGGACTCCAGTAACTTTTAGGAATGTAAGAGTCATACCAGGTGTGGTGGCAGACACCCGTAATCCCAGCACAGAGGCTGAGGCAAGGGGGTCACTACAAGTTTGAGGCCAACCTGGGCTACACAGTGAGTTCAAGGTCAGCCTCAACTACACAGTTGAGACCCTGCCTCAAAAAAAAGTTCTGAGATCAAAAGTTTGAGAACTAGTGACACAGACTGCGAGCTGAGATGCACGGGTTGTATAGCTTTGCTCTTCTGTAACTACATGATACCCTTTCCTCTATAGTCAAGACCTATAAGATCCAAGCAAAGTCTGCAGGGTTTTTTTGTTGTCGTTTTAACTTTTGAGACAGGGTCTCACTATGTAGTTCAGGTTGACCTTGAACTCACTGCACTGTGCAGGCTGGCCTCAAACTCAAGGCAATCCTCCAGCTTCAGCCTCTTAAGTACTGGGATCACAGGCATGTGCCAACAGGCCCAGCAAGTCTGCAGTTCTATGTTCCTTACCTTAAAGTTGTAGATTTCATTGTAACAGTCAGCACTTTTCAGAAACCAGGTTATATTCAAAGACTGATCACAAGGTTCTCCATCAACTACAAAAGAAATCATTGTGAATAAAAGATTATCAAACAATGCATTCTTTCTTAGAAGCATTTCCCCTATTGGCCAATACCCTAGTTATTTTCTAACCAGAGATACTCAAAGATCCTCCTTTCTCCAAATATAAGGAAATAAAGTAATGTTTTTCAGATAAAAGTACTGTTGCTCATGGAGGAAAAAATAGTAGTTTTTTATTTGTTTAAAACTATGGTCCTATTTCTCTGGCATAAAACTTCAAAGTTTAGATCTCTATTAGGAAAAGCCTTGAGGTAATAAATCAGTCTAAATTAAAAGCAGTCTTCTATTATTCAAATACTTGTTAAGCAGAGCACAAATATACAAAGATACGACGGCACAGAGCTGGACCAAAGAGAGGAATGGGAAAGAACAAATTATTAAAGTTCTTTTAAAAGGCTACACTCCACTTGAAAAAACACAGACTAAGAACATCAGGGATGTCACAAGGAAAAACTCATGACTGTTAAATGGTGGTACAAATAATAGTTCCACTGAGGGAAAAATCTTGAATGACATCAAGATAGAACAATGAACAAAAAAGCAAACACGGCTGAGGAAGGTAGAAATAACAAAACTAAAGAGAAAGAAAACCAGACTTTTTTCAAAGTTCACCTTACGAAAAGCTTTATGAAACTGTAAAAGCTTCATATAACTCATTAAAATATATATTGGAACACAATATCCTAATGGATCAAGGCATTATTCTGGAGTACAGGGTGCAGCTCGGTGGTAGAGGCTTGCCTAGCTTGTGTGTGGCCCTGGATTCAATCCCTAGCACTGGAAATATTCTAAGACATTAGTTTGAAGACTTGAGAATGTAAATCTGATATTACTGATTCACTGTCTTAGCTGGAGGAAAGTAGCATTCACTTTATCATCCATTCCAAATGTAGAAGGGAGAACATACTGAAAACTCCCTAGATTATGCAAATATAACAAAAATAAACCTGACTGCACTTAGGAACCTAATCTACTTTGGGTTCACAGCAAAAGCAGGAATCTAATTACAAGCTTCCCCTTTTCTTGGTTTTAAATTGCTTTTTCAAACTATTTTTATTTATCTTGGCTTTCTGAGATAGTTCAGGTTGGCCTTTAACTCACAGCAATTCTCCTGACTCAGTCTCCTGAGTACTAGAACTACAGGGATGTACCACCAGGCCCAGCTTTCAAATTAATTTTTAAATGACCAACACATTTTTACAGGACTATATCAGAATATGCAAAAATTTGACAGTTGCTGAGTAGAATTTATGGAGATTATATACAAGATACTGAGTTAATTAGATGTCGCTGGGCATGGTGGCGATACCTGTAATCCCAGCACTCAGGAGGCTGAGGCAGGAGGATTGTTTTGAGTTTGAGACCAGCCAAGACTACAAAGTGAGCTCAAGGCCAGCCTGAACTGCATAGGGAGACTCTGTCTCAAAAAGACACACACACAAAAAAAGTTAATTAGATGTCAATGGCATCCCCTCAACAAAAGATATGCAAAGGAATTTAGCTGCAAAAATAGTTTATTAGTAAATTTAGTTTATCTTAGTTACAAGATAACAAAGACAAAGTTTAGAACTTTGAATGGAAGTCCTTAAGAGACAATGAAAATGCTCCTGCCTATGCCCACCAGCTATATGCCATACCCACAAAAGCATAAAATCAAAACAGGTAAATGAGAGCACAGAGATAACAAAGACAAAATGTAAATTTTAAGGAGTCTCAAATCCTCCAAAAACAATAAAGCATAGACACTTAAAAATATGCAACTTAATGCTGGGCATGGTGGTTCATGCCTATAATCCCAGTACTCTGGGAGGCTGAGGCAGGAGGATCGTTGGAGGCCAGCCTGAACTCCATAATGAGATCCTATCTCGAAAACATTAAAAAGAAAAAAAAAGCAACTTGTTTAACTTGGTAAAACATGATCAGATCAAAACATAGGTTAGAAAAAGTCTGTCCACAATAAAAGGCAAAGAACAGGCTGCTAGGGTATTCTAAGAGTCAAAATCCTGCTATTACTAATAACTGCTCTTATCCAGTAAATCAATTTCACAAGAAAGATTGGTGTGTCATAGTAGACTTGATTTAAATCATTAGTCAGATTATATTTTCATGGATGTAGAAATTCAACCTGCTCCTTAAACCTTATTACAAATGTAAGATTAATAAAAAAAAAATTTCTATCACTTCCCTGGTATCTGTTTTAAAACAGAATACCCAACCAGGCCAGGTGGTACATGCCTGTAGTCCCAGTTCTTAGGACACTGGGGCAGAAAGATCATAGCAAATTTGAACCCAGCCTAGGCTACAGGTAAGTTCAAGGCTGGCCTGAAATACTCTTGACTCTCAAAAAAAACCCAAACAAAACAAAACAAAACAAAACAAAACAGGCAAAGTCAGTACCCAGCCTGCAGCAAGTATTTAACAACTATTTATTAAACAGTTACAAGAATAAAATTCTCCAACTATGACTTGTAACTGTGTACTTTCATGGAGAAAGGTATGTTTAGAAGCACACATCAATGATCTGGATTTTTATCCTTCATCTCAACATAGAAATTCCCATAACCATTTACACTCTAAAATAAAGCAAGTTTGAGAATTAAAAGCTTTTTAATAAAAATAAACAATGGGATAACTTAGGTTGTCCCACTAGACAAACTGGTTTTTTCCTATATAACCCCTATATCCTGGTTACATCCCTGAACTTCAATGTGGTAAAATACTCCTTTGGTAAATAAAAGATCTACTGAATATATTTGTTCTGACCCAATGGTCTAATAAACTTAGGTCATGTTTTCAATAAGCACCTAACAACCATTCATGAATAAAAGCAGTGGTACCTGTTATGTCCCAGAACAAATTAAAACACCAGTGTGATAATCAACCAAGGCACTAAATGTAACTCAACTGTAACATGACTGAATGTATAATTAATATACATAAATATGGTGTGTGTGTATATACAGTCTGCCAAAAAAATTTATACACTCTAGGAAAAGAAACACAGTATGTTTTTGCATGATATGGGGGACCCTAGAGGATGTCATATATCGCAGAAAACCCACTACACTGGCAGCCCTTAGAGAAGAAACTGAGAATGCATGTACAGCGATCCTGATGATCAAGGTTACCCACACAGCAGATCACCATACTAGTAAGTGTCTAGAGGCTAATGGCCACCACTCTGAGCACTTCTTGTAATTGTAGAAGCCAAAGGTAACTTGAATTAATCTCACGATGTCTCAATAAATTTAGTATTAAAATATTTATACAAGTTTTTCTTTTCCTGATATATACATTTTTTTTGGCGGACTCTGTGTATGTTATGGCTTGTGTTTAGATGTCCCCCCAAAGCCTCATCCTACCACAGGTAGGGCTTTTTCAGAGGTGGCTGGATCTAGAGTGGAACATTGGAACTGATTTATGGTGCAATGCTAGGATCAAGGACACTAGGATTGTGAGTGCTACCCACCCTAAGCAACCTGGGTAAGAAAACAAGGGATAGAAAGAGCTGTTGTCATCCACTGTTGCCTTGCTACCTTCTGCCTGCCATGAATTGTTTCTCCTCTGTGAAGCCACCCTGCCTTGGAGCCAACTGATTATGGATTGAAACATCCACAAACTATAAGCTAAATAAACCTTTCCTCCTTTGGGTAGTAGGTATTTTGTCTCAGCAACGACAAAGTAATTAAGACACTGTATATATGCACACATACTATATACTATTATATATTCAACACATGTATTCAATATAGTATATAGCGCAAGTGTGCTATATCTAGTATATGTAATATATACAAAATTGTAGTGTAGTATTATATATCATCTATAGCGTGTACATATGTAATGGATAGCAAACTAAAAGGGAAGAAAATAAAGTTCAGACAAGTAAGTGATGCGGCCAAGACCCACACAGAACCAGACCAGACCTTCTGACAAGAGAGGAGTCTTTATTGGGCAGGAGAGCGACACCGCGGGCTGCCCAGCAGACTAAGACAGCCCTGAGCTGAGACAAGCGTGGGGTTTTTAAGCTATTTTCCAGGGAGGGTGTCTGCAGGCCAGAATAGCGGAGCGGGGGGTAGGTTGTTCCTGAGTTGAACCCGTGGTTCTGTCAAGGCAGATGAGAGCAGGGTTGGCTTTTGTTGAGGGGAACTAGAGGGGAACAGGTGAAGAGGAAGGAGTTTTTATTATTGAGAGTTTAAGTCCCCCCGGGGGGCGGGTGGGGGGGTGGGGGTGTGCCTTATGACTTATCAGTAAGTATTCTACATATTCAATAAAAGGACCTTAGGTTTAATAAATGTTTATATCTACATGATGCTGGACTATTAAATTTCAGAACTTAAAAATGTGTGACAAGTAGATTACCTGAGTTACTTATCTAAACAAGTAAGAAGTTTGTAACTTTAAAAAGCTCGAATAAAAACAATAAAAATTCAAAAACTCACATTTCAAAAATATAGTGGTATTTCTGAAGAGGATCTTTCCGAAACTAAAATAATTTTTTCCCTGCAAAGATAAAAATAGAAAAGACAATTAACATCAGATTGCTCACTACCTAAATTTATAAAATACTTAAATTGGTTTTCCAACTAAAACAATATGAACATTTCTCCTTTTAGTGAAATTCCACATCCAAACTCGAAGATTTGCCCAAAATAAACAATCATTTTCATAAATAACTATTCTGAGTTTTACTTTAAATCTAAAATAACTTACCTATTAATCCTTGTAGTAAGTAACAAGTAAAAACTTAAAACTGAAAACCTGAAGATCTTCAAGCTAATGCGTGCCATATAAACTTACAATCAGTGAGCAAAAGGAATGAAACAAACACATCAACGTGGTTACTTCTTTTTAGCATTTCCTGTCTGCGTCTGGTTTTTGTCCTTCACAGGAATGTATCTTAGGCAGAGTTTTTAAAAGTGCGAGAAGCAGATCAAGCTTTACCTTACGGAACAGTTTCTTCCATGTTGATCATTCCCTATGCTTCCTAATGCCCATACAACAAATTTTAGAATGACCATTTCAAAGTATAACCGAAATCAAACCGCCTCGAAAGCAAAAGTACCCAGAAACAAACCAAAGGGTAGACGAAAAAAAAGAAATAAAGAAGCTATTTACATATCCGCCATCCAACCCGGAGTCACCGGCTTCTGTGAAACTTCACCTTAAAAATAAGCCACTACCTTTATCTGTACATCCAGTTTAATCCACTGTATCTATACTCTCAGGTCAGGCACTGAAAGTTGTCACTTTCCGGATAAAAAACAGCTCCACAGTTCCTTTCCGCGGCAGAAGTGGCCCGGACACTCCTTCCAGCCTATCCAGCACGTGCGCGACTTTTCGCTTCAGGGAGGTGCGTCTCAGCTCGCCCGCATACACAGTGTCCCGGAATCGCACCCTCTTAAGAAGCGGACTTCTGCACAACCTTCATGGACCCGTTGGAGTGCCGTAGCCCCACTTCCCGCTTCTCCGGACTCGGTCGCTACTGTAATACTCACCGACGGTATCGGAATGTGCCACTTGGATCGGTCTGCAGCACACACGGCATTCGGTCGTACACCAGAACGCAACAATGGGAACGGTTCACCGCCGAAAAGAAGAATGACAAGCAACACCTGAAGCCACCAAGCCCGCGCCATCTTCACAGTTTTGGCGTGCCCACGGAAAGCATTTCACCTCTTCCGTTTCGTCCCGCCCGCTTCCGGCCCTGCGCCGAAGGCGGATCATCCGGGTCCTCAAACTTCTTGGGGCTTGTTCGTTTTGCGTCTCTCCCACAATCCTCCGGGCTCCGCGTGAGACGTTCAACCTACTGCGCAGGCGTCGTTCTGTCAACCGAGTCTGCGAGGTTAGGATGATCCCCAGAAACCACACCAGCCTCGAGTTTCTCTTCTGTCTCCTGTTCCTTAAAAAGTTTGGGGATCAGGGTGCCACTCAGTTCAGCGTTCGCCTGTCTCCTCCTCCGGCCCGCCCCAGCTCCTCACCCTTTCCAGGTCAGAGTCGGACGCCTGGGGTCGGAAGTCTAAAGAAGTAGTGACTGGCTGCCTGGTGGCAGTAGTCGTGAGTTCTGTGGTTTTGGAGATATTTAAAGCAGAAGCCAGAGTTTGGCAGTGTGGAAGTAGAAACAACTCCTAGACTGGATGGTGTAACAGATAACCTTCAAAGACCCCTTCTCACCCTGAAAAGTAGGAAGCTCCAGGACCGTTGGCCCGCGACACTCTAGAAATACTCGATGCCGGCACTTTGCACTCAAAACTAAACAGGGCGCTGTGGCGGCGTGGCCGGCGGAGACAGACCCGCAGCTTCGCTCCACTCGGGGAGGCAGCCTCCGTGCTTCCTGATCGTCAGCTCTCGCCTTCTACCGTCCAGCGTTCATCACGTCGGTGCCTACTCTGCTCCAGAGGTTCCTAATAAAACCACGGTCTACATCACCCACCCATAATCGAGAAAATTTTACCAACTTTAACCCTGTAGAAACTCTACATTGAATCAGAAAAAAACCAAAACCAAAAAACAGGCGTAAGATTAAAGATTTGTTACTCTATATGGAACCGGAGGGGACTCTGTTTCCCAGAAATTTGACGCTGGCGAAATGCTGGTCATAACTTAGGAAGACTGCTTCCTTGGATTTTTAAAAAAGATTGCCAGAGGGCCTTATCCTGTAAGCCCTGAGCCAGTAGGCGTGACGGGGAAGCCATGGAAGCATCTGGGAAAGACGAAATCAGGTAAAGACCAGTGCTGGGCCCCAAATGATCCCAGGGCAGGACTGAAAGCAACCTTCTTTCTCGAGTTTCATTGATTTTTCTCCGCACCCCCCTGGTTCTGGAGATTGAACCCAGGGGTGCTGTACAACTTGAGTTACATCTCCATCCCTATTTATTTATAGAAATGATATTGCTAAATTTTCTAGGCTGACCTGGAACTTGGACGCTTCCTGCCTCTGCCTCCAAAATAGCTGGAATTAATGTGTTCCACCAGCCTGGCTTATTGATTTTTGTTTTATTTTTTTTTCTTTTCTTCTGTTTTTGAGACAGGGACTCACTACGTAGTCCAAGCTGGCCTCCAACTTGCAGCAACCCTCTTGTGTCGGCCTCCCGAGTACTGGGATTACAAGTGTGTGCCACTTTGCCTGGAGAGTTGTTTGGTTTTGTTGTTGATTATTTTTATTGCGTTTATTATTTGAATATTTGATATTTGTGCGTCTTAACGTTTTTTACACAATTCTGCAGAGAGCAGCTAGTATTAATAGCTATCCTCTTATAAAATACTTTTAGGATGGTAACACTACAGTGGAAACGTTGTGACCGTGGCTCTAACACATAAATTTCCAGCATGTTGCCTTCCAAGTTCAACTCCTTCAATTCAAAACTCATTCTTTAAAACTGGAAAGAGGCGACTGCAAGGTTCGCTTGATTAAAAGAGACAGTGATAAAAACTGAGCCCAATGAAGCATTTAGTTATTTTCATGATAAACAGTCATTTTAGGATAACCAACTATCTGTCTGGGTTTGTTTTTGTGTGTTGAAGTTTGTATTCAGTCATACCTTCCTACAAAATAATGAACATGCATACTACAGATGTGTTCAGTCACACCTCTGTGTGAAAGCCAGTGTGGTTTTTTATTTTCATTGTAGACTATAGTTGTATTAGTCATATGGAAGCTAATTTAAATACATGTATTCAAGAAGCAATGTACACCTTGTTTGAGTTTTATTCCAGAAACATTTCTGAAAACTTGGTTTTAAAAACATTGACCTATAGATTGTCCTCATTATCTTAAAAAGCAAAAGATCTACATTTGTCTACCATTGTTCTAGCACCTTGAACATAACTTTCAGAGCATTCATCAGCTTGTGTTGGTTGGTTGCTGGTTAGGCTCCCAACACCCAGTGAATGTATATTCTGAAAAATATTTTTTCCATTAAATTGTTGGGCTCTGGTTTAGGTTTGTTTGGGGTTTTTTCCTTGTTCTTTGCTCTTTCAGATATTACTCTTGCAGCCATTTTAAAAAACACTGCTTCATAAGTAACAATACTCTTTCTACTGCTTTTTGTAATCCTAGGATTTGATATTTTGTTAACTGGGGGTATTTTACAGAAGAATATTGTTCTCAGCATGTGTGCTGTTATGTTACATGAAGTTATTGTTATGTCGGTGACACGATTTTCCATTGCAGAATAGAATCCAGAGGCTTGTTTTAAATCTCTATAAAATTGAGTTCACAAACCTTGTGTGAAATATATTTCTTAAAATGTCTTTACTTAGTGTTGAAGATGAAGCTGTGGATAAAAGCATTTTCAAAGACTGCAGCAAGATTGCTTTCTACAGGTATGGAAAGTAAATACATCAAGTGGATCAAAACATTTCTGACTGTATTTGGAAGTTAGTGGTATTAAATTTTTGAAAACTAGATAGATTTCCTAAGGAAAAAGTCAATTAGGAAATTTAATGATTAAGGAATTTATCAGATAGGAGGCTCACCTTTTAACCTTATATACTTATTACTATATGATTTAATTTTGTTTTGTTTTGTTTTTTTTGCCTTTTTGAGACAGGGTCTCACTGTGCCGCTCAGGCTGGCCTTGAACTCACTTTGTAGCCCAGGTGGGCCTCGAACTCACAGTGATCCTCCTCCCTCAGCCTCCCAAGTGCTGGGATTACAGGCGTGCACCACCCTGCCTGACCAATATATATTTTAAATACCAAAATGTTTTTAAACTAATTTTTGAATTTTGTATCTTTGAATAGTGTTGTGGTTTGTGTCTGCATGTCCCCCCAACTCCTCATGCAGTCATGGGGCAGGCTTCTAGAGATGTGATTGATTCATGGTCCAATGCTAGAATTATGGATGTGAGTGCTATGCCTGCCCTGGGGCGGGTAGTTTGCATACAGTGTAAGGGAGGGAAAGAGTCTGCTTGCCCCTGCTCCTCCCTTTTGCTCTTGTTGCTTTTGCTGTCTTCCACCACGATGAACGGTTGCCCTCTGCCATGTGCCATCTTGCCTGGACTGAAACCTCCACAAACTGTGAGCTAAATAAACCTTTCCTCCCTTAATTTTGGGTGTCAGGTATTTTGTCTCAGCAAGGAGGGGGGAAAAAAAAGTAACCAGGACAAATAGATAACAGTTTTACATGGTTCAAAAATAATTTTAAGAGACATTGAGAAGGTTAGTCTCATCTCATCCCCTTCAGTCCTATTTCTCATCTTGTCCCTGTATGAAACAAGCATATAAGATATATACTTGGTATAAGAAAGGGGATGATACCAAGTAGCTTTTCTTTCTCTTTTCTTTTTTTTCTTTTTTCTGGATATTGGGAATCGAACTGAGTGAGAACTTTGCCCTTGCTAGGCAGGCACTGCACCACTGACCTAAACGCCTGTCCCCTCAAATAGCTTTTTGTATACTTTGTCCTGTATATTAGGGGGGTTTTTTCTGCTTTTTTTTTTTTTTTTTTTTAAAATAAAAGGAGGAAAACATTAACAGATAGACAACATTTTATAAAATAGCAAAAGAACAGTACAGACAATACAGAGTTACAAACAAAGTGGTAGGAAATTAACAATGCTTGTTGTATTACATATTGATATCTTCAAAGTGGCTTCTCATAAAAACAGATAGACACATGCAATATTGATCAGTCAAGGACTCACTGACAGTTTCTTTCAGCAAACAAATAGAAGACAGTAGATTAACTATGTTAACTATCCTATATATACATACATACAAAATTTCTCCTTCTTTTGCTTCTCTTTTCCCACACCCCAGTTGCCCTTTACCCTTGAGCATTTTCCTATCATTTCACAATGTCTATCATACCTCCGAGTCTGCTTTATTTTCTTCTGAAGAGCATTGTACCTGAGTACACAGAGAGTCTCTGCCATTTTTATAGCTGAATAGTATTCTGTTGGATGGATATACTATAATTTATCCTGTCTCCTCTGGCTAGCTCCTTGGATTATTTTTAATCTTCTGCTAGAGTAGCACTATAATAATGAAGAACTGCATATGTCATTTCCTACACCTGAAGGTGTATTTATAAGACAGATTTCTGGAACTGTTACTATTGGATCAAAGACAAAATGCAGAGCTAGGTGTGGTACCACACGCCTATAATCCCAGCACTTGGGAGGCTGAGGCAGGAGGATCACCAGGAGTTCAAAGTCAGTCTAGACTACATTGTGAGTTCAAGACCAGCCTGAACTGCACAGCGAGACCCTGTCTCAATAAATAAATAAATAAATAAATAAAATCTTTTTTTAATGTCTGCCTTTCTTTGATCCTAAAATTGAAATAATCAAAAATTGTTTCATATATTTTAACTTTCTTATTTACCCTCTGTTCTAGATGAAGAAAAGCTTATCATTTTAATTCGGTACAGATACTTAGAGAGAAGTTTATGGTGAATGCCTGGTCACCTTGTTACCACTAGATTATATTGGACTTTCATTATAGAATCTATTAATAGAGTTACTATAAAGGGTCCATTTCATGAAAAGAGGGAGGAAAATCAACAAGCTCATAAATGCCATCTTTGAAAACTACCTCATCTTCTCAGTAAAGCAGAGAGGTTCCCATCTTTGCGCAGTGTTATATTGAATTTTTCATTAGTGTTCTTATTAGTACTAACTTTATTAGCACTCTAATAATATAGTATTCTTAGTACTTTATGACAGTATAATCTATGCCCAGTTCATATTTATTGCAGTGAATTTTAATGACTTCCACATAATAATAGTCTATTGGATGCCGCTGACAGTGACAAATAGTCCTCACACATCTACATACTCGGTATCTACAGGCGTCAGAAACAGCAGCTCTCCAAGAATTTCACCTATCGGGCATTATTAGACTCAATCGCAACAGGCAAAGAGAGCACCAGTTTCCAAATCATCAATGAAGCAACTAAGGTAAGGTAGAAGATACTTCTAACATACTTGACCTTAGAGAGTAATTTTTTTCTGTATTAATTCGAGTTAAATGATATAAATTTAATAGCTAATTAGAACTGTATATGGCTCAATACAAATTTTGTCAGAGAAGGAATGTCATCTTTTTAAATCTATATAACAGTACTGTAATAATAATATGAATATTAACATGGAAATTGCCCATGTATGAGATGTGTTTCTAGTTGATTTACAATGTTATTTCCTTTTAATTAACCTTCATAATACACCAAGAGGTACATTGTATTATTCTCAATTACCAGATAAGGAAAGTGACATCTAGAAAGTCACTTGCCAAAGTCACACAGGTAGTAACCAGAATATCCTCCTGTATCTGTCAGACTACATCAAATAACCGTGTACTTTTTACCACTATTACAACATACAGGTGTGCATGCAGCATGAGTAAGGAATAGATTCAGTAACTGTTCAGACTTCACAATGTGGGTGGTAAAATAACAGATAAATGGGCTGTGTAGTAGAAAACCTAAGCCACAAGTATTCCATCACCTGAGCTGCTTTACCAGAAGATCACCGTAGCTAATATATACGGAAAGGGTTGCAGTACCATGTCTTAAGTACTTTTTCCTCCTCCTGTCAGTTCTTCACACTACTTCAGATGTGCCACAAAGATAGGCCAGTAATAAAGGAAGTGCTATGAGCTATGCTAAGAAGCATGACTGTGTGCAATTACCTGCTACTCTCAACCTGACCTTCACTTCCAGATTCTTACCCATCTTCTAAAGGCATTTAAGCATATGGGGCCCCTCAGAGCAATATGAATTAACTGGTAATTCTTGTAATTGAAACATAGTTATGGTTATGTGGTCTGGGCTCCCTAACTGTTTAGACAATAATGCAGCCAACTCACTAACACATCTCAGTTCTGAGACCCTAACTTCTGCTTGAAAGCTGTGGCTTCTGACCTATAATGCTCTACTTAGTAATCTCATCAGGGAGTTCTCCATAACATTTGGAAGATCTTTAATTTAGAAACTATTTAGGATCATCAGAAGCACTTGACTCTGGGAAATGCAGTAAGCCCCCCAGACGGTTTTCAGGAGACCTTAGTTCTGCCAGCAGATATGGGAAACCTTGTTGCCTTGTTTTTCTGGTCATTTTCTTGTTTTCCTTTCTGTTTCTATGGTGCCTAGCCCCACAGAGTTGAAGTGCTTGTAATCAGGGCAAGAATCTTCATCTGTCCTTGGAGAGGCTTAGTATATTCAGTCTCCAGAATGATCCACTCTCATGAAGACACATCAAAACTGATATGTCAAAAGACACTCCCCCACCAGAACTTACTGTTCCCCTAGTAACCTCCCCACCTCCTGGCCTAGCTGCAGAAGCCAACCCCACCCATAAAAGTACCAGATGTTCTTGCAAGAACAACAGCCCTAACCACAAAAACCCCCTTCCTGGCTGTTCTGGCCCATGAGCACCCTCCCCAAAAAGGCCCTTAAAAACCTAAAGCTTTGCACAGCTCAGGGCTGTCTTGGTCCGTTAGGCAGCCCACCACGTTGCTCTCCTGCCCAATAAAGACTCCTCTCATGTCAGAAGGTCTGGTCTGATTCTGTGTGGGTATCGGTCTGGTCAAAAACAAAGTAAATGAGGCAGAATTATTCTGAATATCAATGAAGAGCCGAAATGAAAATTCTCAACACAGCTCAGTACCAGTGCAGTTATGGTAAACTCCTATATACCTTTTCACATGACTGTATGTTACTTTCTTTCGTTTTGGATCCTGACTGTATGAAAGACAATGCAGTCTACATCAGGTACAGCAACAAAGCCTCACAGATGTGGATTCTTCAGGGGGAAATAATTTACGCTATGGGGGGGACCCACAGGATCTCAATGCAAGATGCGACCTGATTCAGAAATTATCTGGAGTATAGCAACATAGCTCCCAAGACTGAGAACTTTCTGGGCTCCTTAGAACAGAGTGTATGTTCAAATATCGCCAGAGGACACAGTTTGTAATAGCTAAATCTTGGAAATAGCCCAAATGCCCATCAACTAAAAAATGGATAAAGAAGATAAGGGATTTTTATACAATGGAGTACTACTCTGCTACAAAGAAGGATAAACTTGAGACATGTCTAGCTAAATGGCTGCACTTTGAGGCCATTCGCTTAAGTGAAATAAATTAGACACACATGTGTAATTAGTGCATTGTTTCTGTGGTGTAAGAAACTGAAAGTGTAAATAAGGATCAAAATGTATAATAGATATTGTGAAAAAGGAAGAAAATGTTCAAATGGGAAGGGGAACTAGGGAGGGGGAAGTGGAAAAGAAGGAAGGGACAAGAAAAAATAATAATGAGAAAAGAAAAAAAAATATTGCCAGAGGAAAAGTAAGATCTGCCCATCAAGGAGGAGTTGATGGAGTCATAATTTCCCTTCTTAATACCGCCTTTTTTTGTCTCTTTGAAACAGGGTCTTGCTATGCAGTTCAGGCTGGCCTTGAGCTCACTTTGTAGCCCAGGCTGGTCTCGAACTTGGAATGATCCTCCTGCCTCAGCCTGCGAAGTGCTTGGATTACAGATGTGCGCCACCATGCCTGACCTTAATACTCATTAAAATAGATATTCTAGGGTTGTTCTGTTAACTCAGTTATAGTCTCTACTGGTTGTGGTTCCCAGGTCTATTTAAGTTATTTCAGTATAATTATTATCAATCTTCTACTTGCATACCTGAACAAAACTGTCTCTACCACTATCATTTTTACAAAATATCTCATATTTTTACCCTTGTGGCCATATAAAGACTAGACTTACAGATGACAAGCTGCCAGATTTTAATTGTCTTTATTGAGTGTGGGAGTTAAGATAGGAAAAGAGAATTTATACTCTATTTCCTGGACCATGTAAGATGTGCTTCTGAATAAAGATATACAAAAAAACCAAGTAGAGACTTAGACTGTTAAAAAGGACCTCCAAAATGTATCCCGTTTTCTGAGGATTTGTCTGTGATTCTCTGCACATACATAGATATTTACACATCTTCAATATTTCTAAGGGATTAAAACCAGGTGTGGTGGTGTATGTCTGTAATCTCAGCACTCAGGAGGATGCCAGCCTGGGCTACAAGGTGAGCTCAAGGCCAGTCTGAACTGCGTAATGAGACCCTGTCTCAAAAAGACAAAAAAAAAAAAATATCTATGTGTATTTCTAAGGAATCAAAACCATTCTATGTCACATCATTTAAGATGGCCACTTAAAATTTGTAGATATGTTTGTTCACTTGTTTTATATAAATACGTCTGTTTACATTTGAGTGGAATTACTGCTGAGAACTAATACTAAGTTCTCAATGTTAGCAACCCAACTTCCATAACTTATCTTCTCTCTGTATTTTTTCATTGTCATTTCCAAGCATCACTAATTGGAGGACAAGATTTTTCAATTTATCTGTTCATAAATGTCTAAACAATTCCATAGCAAAGAAGAATAGGGATAAATAGAAACTCTTAGTGTTTTACATAGACATTCTAAAAGAGCAAGTTTGTGAGGATTGGGCAGTGACTGTTAGTTAAGAAGCCTCAAGAAAGTGGGTATTAAGCTCATCCACAAAGCCCCAAGGTTTCCATGAAGATACTTCAGAGCTCAGTGCAGGGAAGGGATGGAGCTTAAAGATGGGACCTCTGATTCTTTCCCCACTGTCCTCATCCAAGTAACTCTACTTACTAGACTTTGCAATGTGCTGATATAAATATATATATTTTAAAATTTATATAGAGAGATACATATCTACATATGTATAGATAGATAGATATCTACTTTTTTTTTCCTTTTTTTTGTTTTTGTTTTGTTTTGTTTTTTGAGACAGGGCCTTGCTATATAGTCCAGTTTCCCAGGCTGGCATCAAACTCATGGCAATCCTTCTGAATCAGCCTCCTGAGTGCTAGGATTATAACCATGTGCCACCACACAGAGATTTAAATGTTCCAATATTTTTTCCAAATGTTCCAAAAATTAAGCTAATAGAAAATACAGCATTGACTGGGTGTGATGGCACACGCCTGTAATCCCAGCATTCACGAGAGTGAGGCAGGAAGATCACTGTGAGTTCGAGGCTAGCCTGGACTACATAGTGAGACCCTGTCTCAAAAAAAAAGAAAGGGAAAAAAAAAGAAAATATAGCGCTGACCAGATCATAGGAGTACATGCATAAGATTTAATGGAATTATGTACCTAGAACAGTGTGGTAAATATATGGCACATATATTATTTTCCTTTTAAGACAAAATATGTTAATGTATGAGTTATTGTTTTTAAAGCATAACTTCAGTATTCAAGCTTAATTGCAGTGTTGGCATTTTGCTATAAATAAGTGGGTTTTGGGTTGCAGTTTGGCACCCATCTCTAAGAGGTTCACTGTGGGTGCAGCTCAGCAGTACAGCCTGTGCTTGGCATGCCATGGATTCAGTCCCCAGCACCAAAACCAAAGAGGAACGAATCTGGATACTGACCTTGCAAAGGTCAGTTTTTAAAAGCAGAGCTTTAACTCTGATTTTTACATAGATTACTATGGTAAAAGCGGGGTTATTGCTATCTTTTCTCATGTAATTAAGATTCTTTTCTGCATTGCAGCCTTAACAACAGAACATACAGAGTTGTCTTTGTTATTTTTTTATAAAGATTTTACTAATAGAATCCTGAGCGCATAACTAGATGCAGTTTGTTAATCGTATATAGGCAGACAACCTGTGTGCCTTGTGCTTAGGATGTTACTGCCCGTTTTTATCTTCCTGAAGTCTTAGTAACCAATGAAGGCCTGCTTAAATCTCTCCTCCAGAGAGATGTCCCAGAGCTTCTCACCTCATACTCTTCAACACTCTCCTTCCTCATTCTTCCCTTTGTAGTATATTTGTCCTTCTATCTTAGCACTTACCATAAAATGCTTTACATAAACTGCATCTGCTCTGTCTCCTCTAGATTGCAGTCTTTCTAAGAGTTTAGTCATCACAATATTAAATGCCAAATCAATGTTAGTTGAATTGAACTTAAGAGAATGGAAATATATGTCTAACTGGGGAGATAACATTAGTCTGGTAGGATTTCAGCTTTATTTGTATTTGGACACATTTTCAAGTATTAGGATCCTCACTGCACACTTAATTCAAATATGCAAACAAATTAAACATGTAAGTAGTGATTACAGTATGATCATTTGTCTAACATAACCTTTAAAGTGCCAATAAAGCATCCACAACCATAGTCCTTGTTAGCTTATCACTGTTCATGTCATGTCACTGTTTAAGTGATCTCTTATGTCCTCAAGAGGCAAACTTCCAGTAACTTCCTTTTTTGGTATTTCTTGATATTTTCCATGCTTCCTATCTCGTGCTTCCACCACATTATACCTACCCAGCTTAGCCTTCATTATAATAGACAGGATAATGTAGGTCCCCATTTGTAACCAAAACTTGGATCACACTTTATGAAGAAGTTACAGTAGACTAGTGTGGCATGACACATCAGTTTAAAACCATAGTCTCATTCCTCTGATCTCCATGACTCATTTTATGACCTGAGTCCAGCCATTTCTGTTATACTGGGGTTTGTTCATCTTGTTTTGTGTTTTATTTTTCAAACTTACTCTCTTCATAGTTCCATGTTGTATATATCATCCACTGTAGGTGGAATTTTACCTAAATTTCCAAGCCCACTGAGAATGTTCTCTGGGTCTATTCTTAGTTACAAATCTTCTTGGTTTTAGAGTGGCAAGCTTCATTTCATCCTCCACTAGATAACCCCAACAGTCATTGTAGTACTCTTTTCTTTTCTGTAGCTTCTATCCTTCCTTTTTTATTCAGCTAGAATCTAGTTGGTCTGGTTTTAACACCCTATTATTCTTAACTCATCTATACTTTATCATAGATACGTATGTCCAAGTTTTCCAAGGCTAAGTTCAGGTTGTGCCTGTTATCTGGTATGGTAATTATTAATAGAAATCCTTTTCATTGTATAGATTCTGTCTTGGACAAGTACATGTTTACCTATCCATAGAACACGCAGAAGGTATTTATTTCAAAATTAGAGGTATAGCTGGCAACTATATGTGTAGATTGGGTAGCTTGTTTTTATTATTGCCATTGTTCTCCAATTTGCTTGACTTATAATAATGTAAAATTTTTCTAATTATTGTAATTTGACAACTATTATGGGGGTACTTGGTTGAAGTTAATTTTACGTATCTGTTCCCAGCTTCCTCTCCTGGCTGAAATTTATGGTATAGAGAGAAACATTCTCAGGCTTAAAATCAATGAAGAAATTCCACTGAAACCCAGTGGAATTATTATTATTATGGGGGTACTTGGTTGAAGTTAATTTTACGTATCTGTTCCCAGCTTCCTCTCCTGGCTGAAATTTATGGTATAGAGAGAAACATTCTCAGGCTTAAAATCAATGAAGAAATTCCACTGAAACCCAGGTATGAGGTTTCTGATGTCCTCATCAGCAAGCTGAGCACTGTAAGGTAAGCCAAGGAGCAGGTGTCTTGGATACATCCTCAGTATGTTCTTTTATCACATTTTGAGTAGATTTTGTATGTGCTCCTATTTTACACATTCAAATCTATAATCATTTTCAGGGTTAGTATTCAATTAGATGAGGATGAGTGTATCAGTTTTGTATGTTACACATTCTGGTTTTTCTTCATTCACTATTTGACTCATCATTATCTATTAATGGAGAAAGTAGAACTTTGAGCCCTGTCCTCCTCCTCACAGTAAAAGCAGCTTATTAGCCAGACTTTTGGAGCAAGTAGCAGGAAGCACTACTTACTCAGATTAGCAGCAGGCCTCCAGAGACCTAATACACTTGTCAAACTCCCATGCTTATAGCAATTTATAGTATATAGTTAGACTAGCTCACTTTTAATTAAGGGTATTCTCAGAAGACTAACATGTAATTTTACTTAGAGTCAGGGATAAATTAATAATCAATGTCTAGGTGAAAAAAATCATTAGGGACTAAAGCATTTTTAAATACCTATGACATCTTCATCAGTTCCCCCTGCACTCCAGTTAGACTTCAGTTTGGTTTGGCCTATTGAATTCTGGATTTTTCTCATATTATTTCACTAAGAAAATGTAAGATTATGCTAGATGCTTTAATATTAATTATTTCACTATAATAGTTTTATGCAGATTATTTTCCCATGAAAATATAATGAAAGGTTAATAAATCAAAAAGGAGAAATATATTCAGTTATGATAGAACCATCATAAATTTAAAATATATCTATTCATTGCCAACAATTTAGGAGAGAGGAATTAAAAAGAAACTGTTTTGAAGGCTTTGTTTGACAAGTGAGTCATTGCATACATATAACCATGTGATCACAATATATTATTTTTTGTTATGCCGGGGGATTCACTTTGCTAGTAGATCTGCTAATAACTTCATATCTGTGTCTGAGTAAAAATTACTCTAATTTTTTCTGTGCCATATTTGCTATGTTTTAGGGCTAGGATGATACTAGTTTTGTTCGATAAATATGATCTCTTAGTCTGTTTTTGTTCCATCCTCTTTCTAAAGGCTTTGGCTACTATGGTAACTAAAAAGCTAAAAACTACATTTCTCCATTTCTTAGATTCCCTTGTAGCCAGAGTTTCTAAGATAATTCTGTTTCCACCAATCATATGGGTTTTTTTTGTTTTGTTTTGTTTTTGTTTTTGTTTTTTTGTTTTTTGTCTTTTTGAGACAGGGTCTCACTATGAGCCTTGAGCTCAGGCTGGCCTTGAGCTCACTTTGTAGCCCAGGCTGATCTCGAACTCGCAACAACCCTCCTGCCTCAGCCTCCCGAGTGCTGGGATTACAGGCATGTGCCACCACACCCAGCCCCAATCATATGTTCTTACAGAAAATTTCAGCAGTTGACTCCCTGTTTTGTTTGTATAGATCTGACACCTGTAGACTGGCTCTAAGCCTATTAGGACCACAGTTTCCTGATCTTCATAGTACCGCTAAAATAGCATGATCCTGAAGCCCTGCATTTGCCACAATGACCTCTGATTCTCCAACTTCCTGATTCTCTTGCTTCAGGCTCCTGAGTGCTGGGATTACAGGAGTGTGCCATCACTGCCAGTTTATGCAATATTGTTCTAGGGATCATTACCAAATGTCTAGAATAAAACTTGCTGCGTACTTCAGTCCCTTCCATGATGTTGTAAGCAATTATCCCTAATAATGAGGCATTTATTTTCTGTATAAAATACCCGGAGTTCAGTGAGGGATTCAAGATTGAAATTTACTCAGTTTAGATTAAAGCAATTGGGCTGGGGATTTAGCTCTGCGGCACAGCACCTGCCCAGCAAGCACAAGGTCATGAGTTTGATTCCCAGTACCAGAAGAAGAAAAAAAATAGATTACAGCAATTATTTCTGTTAGAATCAGCAAGATGCAGGAACTAAGGATTCCTGAAGCATGTTGTTGCTTCTTTTTAATCTGGAGGGAAATAATAATGATGCCCCTATTATTGAACTCTGGATGTTCTAATACTTTGCAAAATGTGAGTTTAAACTCATAACTTTAAGTAAAGGAAAAAAAGAGGGAGAGCAAATTTGTTAAAATATTAAGATTTGTTTTCTTTGGGTGGCAAGAATGTAATTTTTCCTCTGCTTTTCAAGGTTTTTCTAAGAAGTATGTATTCTTTCATAGTGGAGAAAATATATAATAAATTGCATTACATTAATTTATCTAATTTCATCTCTCATATTTGGAGGAAAAAATAGAAAAATCAGCTTATTTCCTGATGTGATGGGTGGATGTTTGAGAACTACATTTTAAAATTTATTTTACACTTGATCTTAGCCAAAAGGCCGAGAAACAATTAAAATTTATTTTAATAACGAGAGTAAACAAAATAATAATATTTTTCTGGCATTTAAACCTAATATAAATGAGTAAAAAAAGGCACAGTCCTATCTTAATGAAATATTTCTGCCAAAAAATTATTCATTTTTGACATGTATGTAAATAAATGTCATTTTCCCCTAAGTCCCACCATAAGTTGTACTTCAGTTTCCTTTCTGTCATTTTTACCTTTCTCTGTTTCTCCCCCCACTCGCTTTTATCATTCAGATCTAACAACAAGCACTGTTATTCAAATACATTAAAATAAAGATGTTTGTCTTTCAAGATAAAAATAAATTATTCAGACTTGTTTCTATTACTGACAGTGGAACCCTAGTTGATATAATAGTTGGTATCAGAAGTGGGTGTAAACAAACAGACCTTAAAAAAATAGAAATGAGGGATTTACCTGCTGCTTTGTTTGGATTTGAAGGCAAGGAGGACCTAGTTACCACCGTTAAAGGTTGAAGTGCAGGTATTATGGACCGAATGGTGTCTCCCCCAAAATTGAAAAAGGAAGACCTCAAAATGGGGACAGTGTTTACAGATAAGGTCTTTAAAGAGGTAATTAAGAAGTTGAGTGTGGTGGCACACCTCTGTAATACCAGCATTTGGGAGACAGAGGCAGGAGGATCACCGTGAGTTGAGGCCATCCTGAGCTCTACACAGTGAGCTCAAACATAGCCTGAACTACATAGTGAGACCCTATCTCAAAAAAAGAAAAATAACAACAACAAAGAGGTAATTAAATTAAAATGAGGTCATTAGGTGGGCCCTAATCCATTAGGGTGAGTATCCTTACACACACACACACACACTCTCACACAGAGAGCAGGACAGTCATGTGAGGACACAAGATAGCAGCCATCTGCAAGCCACAGAGAGAGGCCTCAAAAGAAACCAACACCTTACATAGCCTCCAGAATATGAGAAAATAAATACCTGTTGTTTAAACCATGTAGTCTGTGATATTTTGTCATGGCAGTACTAGCAAACTGACACAACTAATAATAAACCATGGCATTAAATGACCAAGGTACTTAAACTACTACACATGGTCAACTAAAATAAAGTGTCTTTTGGAAGAGACCAAGTGGCAGGATCATAGCAAGTTATGATCGTCATTCAGCATTCAAAATTCTGAAGTGGGTTGATGCTCTTAGCTTCCCTACAGAGCTTAATGAAAGAAAACAACATTTCAGGATTTAAGATTCTTAATTTGTGGCATTGTCAGAAAACTAATGAGTTTCTGAGACTCTCCTAAAAATCTCTCTTATAGCCACAGGGTCCTTGTAGCTGACAATCAGGTACACAATTTGGATGCTACAGATGCCTAAATTAGATCATAAATTGAAATCATAGCCTCTTCAGGTCTTTGAATGTATGAGATCAACTGGGAGAAGGAAGGATATGTTAGAATTGAATAGCGACATTCAGGAAGCTTTGGATAATTCTAAGTAAACTAAACCACTGAACTTCCCATTCCAGCAGAAGCATCTCTTCCTGCTCTGCCTGATGAAATTGATCCTGCCTTGCATCAACACACTATGGTGACCTTACCTATAACAGACCTGGCAGAGGGCTTTCAATGTTCCTTCTTCCTCCCCTTACCATCCTTCAGTGCCTCCATAGATCAGGCTACATTTATTGACACAAGCACATGTACCAGAGAATACACATTTGATATGCTAGCTTGGAAAGCTAACAGTGGCACACACTGTTTCCGTAGTTGGTTAACTACAAACTGAAATCAGCTGTGGATTCTAACTGAAGTTAAGATACACAGATTTCATAGTACAGTGTAGAAGAAATGATCCATAAACTTAAAAAGATAAAAATGTGGAAGTAGATTTGTGTAATCAGGTCACATAGCCTTGAGCCCTTTTGCAAGAGGACCCATAAGATACCCTTGATTGAGAAATACATGCGTGTGAGAACACTTGGAAAGCACTATAGTGGATGTCTTCCTTTTGGGAGCCTGAAATAATGGTAGGAAATGATAGTACTAAAATGGGCTCCCTGATTTCAGTAAAGATGAGACCCTGTGTAGCAGAAGCAAGGTAGCAGCATGTAGTTCAGAAACAAGATAGACGTAATTCCATAACACGCCACAGAGCCCACATGGTTCACAAAAATATTCTGACCCTCAGGGTAGTTAACAATTTGTCCTGGGGTCCATTAGTCTAGAATGGTTGGACTGAGGTCCTAGTGGATGAAAGAATCTGAAGAATTCTGTCTAGGTCTGATGAACAGTCAGACATAGCCCCCAACCAACAGTAGGCAGAGTTAGTTGCCGGGACCCAGGTGTCTTGATTGAAGGGAAAGCCTAGAATCCATGGATAAGGACTGAATGGATAAAATGATAACACAAACTAAACCAGGCATGGTAGTGCACACCTGTAATCCCAACTACTCAGGAAGATCACAAGTTCGAGCCTAAGCCGATCAATTTCATGAGACCTGTCTCATAATAAAAAATAAAAAAGGCTGGGGACATAGCTCAGTCACAGGGTGCACCTACCACTAGGGCATCCTTAAACCAGCAAAGGGAGGAAAAAAGAACATAAACCATCCCCCGCAAGCATCACTAAAGAGTCCTATGACTGTTTATCAGGGTGACAGTACATTAGAGAAAGGAAGATGTCTAGACCTCTGAGGGATTTTGAGTGCTGGTTCTGAGCTTTTATCCTGAGGTTCCAAATCATCACAACAGTCTGTCAAATTAGAGTCTGATGCCAATAAATAGTTAAGTGAAACCTGACCTATTTTTGTCTCCTTGTGAATCCAATCTGTTGTATTTCCTTAGTTTCTGAATTTATTATTGGAATGAGAAAGAGAAATAGTGTTTAAATTGTATGTACCAATGTATTACTAGACTTTATAGACAGAATTAATGATGATGACAGTTCAATTTTTTTAAGTGTGTATGTGTCAGGCCCTCTACCAAGTGCTTTACAGGCAGTCTCACTCAGTTCTCTCCAAAAATTCATTTGTTGTTGCTTTTTTTGTCCTTTACACAGAAGGAAATAGATCTAGAAAGACTGGGTAATTTTGTTATCCTGGTAGACTTATGTTCAATCCAAGCTCTCTAATGCCAAAGCCTATGCTTTCAATAACAGTTTTTTATTGCCCTATCTATGCTGCTAATTTGAATTGAAAATCATGTAGAACCATGTAAAACTACAGAAATTTGTTTTTCTCGTCCTGCTTTGTTTTCTAGGCTGATTCCATGTTCCGGAGATACAGGTAATCTGATACTGTCCAGTGAAAAAGGAGATCTGAAGTGTCATATCACAGCAAACCCATTCAAGATAGACTTGGAATCTGAAAAAGAGGTTGTAATGAGCATAAATTCCCTGGGCCAGTTATACTTTGAGCACCTACAGATTCCTCCCAAGCAAAGGTATATTTTTACACATTACCTAACACATAAAAACCTTAACAAAACCTGATTATGAATACTAGTTCCTAAATATATAACAAATCATCACAGAAAGTCAGTTTTCCAGCCAGGCACAGTGGTGCATGCCTGTAATCCCAGCACTGAAGGAGGCTGAGACAGGAGAATAGAAAGTTTGAGTCCCCTTAGGCAACTTAGTAAGACTCTGTCTCAAAAAATAAATACATAAATAAATAAGAAGGGCTAGGATGTAGCTCAGTAGTAGAATGCTCCTGGATTCCATGACATCACCAGTATTGCAGAAAAAAAAATTGGTTTCCCTTATTTACTGTGTTATTATTCTGAGAAATTTCATCTTTTTATCTGTGCAGGTGAATATAGGCTTTGTGACAAAAATGATTCCCAAACTTTTGAGAATTTTACACTTTAGATGCGTTGTGACTAATGGCATTCCCTACCTTTTACACCCTTCTAAATACTATAAGCACAGGGTTGACAAATGTTACGTGAACTAGCATGTCTTCAGAATGTCACTTTACTCCCTTAAAATAATATTAATAACCAAGATTTGAGTAATTAGGGATTTTCTCGGACCATACCTTTGATCAAAGTTGTTTGTTGTGGTTCACATGATTAAGAAGTAATAAGGCAAGGGGCTGGGGATTTAGCTCAGTGGCAAAGCACCTGCCTGGCAAGCGCAAGGTCGTGAGTTCGGTTCCCGGTACCAGAGAAAAACCAAAAAAAAAAAAAAAAAAAAAGTAATAAGGCAGAGATTCTTCCATTTTTTATGGATTAAAGTTTTTAAATCTCCCAGTGTGTATTTTATCATAATAGTATCCTTTATCTTTTGTGTTTTATTGTAATGGTAAACATACTATTTTGTGTGCAGAAAGCATTTAACATTCATTATTTCTACATAATAATTTTTTCTGAGATTCAACTTAGTTTTATTTTAAAATTTTAATATTAAAAAGCCTTATTAAGCAGGGCATGGTGGTACATGCCTGTAATCTCAGGATTGTTGTAAGTTCGAGATCAGCCTGGGCTACAAAGTGAGCTCAAGGCCAGCCTGAGCTACATAGTGAGACACTGTCTCAAAAAGTCCAAAAAAAAAAGCCTTATTTTTTAAGGGACCAGGGATGTAGCTCAGTGGTAGAGTCCTTGCCTATCATGCACCAGGCTCTGGGTTTCAACTACAGTACCACAAAAACAAACATACAAATACCCTCCTGGAACTACTATGTGACTACAAGGATGCAGGATTCAAGGGTAATGTACAAAACTTAAGTGCTTTTCTGTATATCAGTAATGTACAAGTAGAATTTGAAATTAAAAGCCACACTTTATTCTATTAGAACCCAAAACATGAAATATTTAGATATTAATCTAATAAAATAGGTGTAAGATCTATGTGAAGAAAACTACAAAATGGATAAAAGATTCTTAGAAACAAGGCCTGGTGTGGTACAGTCAAATAATAATATGCTGGTATGGCTGCAGGGGAAAAGGCAATGCTTCTATATTGTTGGTGGGAATGTAAACTAGAACAACTATGGAAATTAATGTCATGATTTCTCAAAAAAACTAAAACTAGAAATTCCATTTAACCCAGCTGTTCCCCTTCTAGGTATCTTCCCGAAAGAGTTATATTACATGCATACATACATGTAATGTACATAGATACATGCATACCTATGTTTATAGTTCATTTTTTATAATAGCTAACTCTTGGACGCAGTGTATATGTCCACCAATAGATGAATGGATAAAGAAAATGCAGTATTTATACACAATGGTATTTGTGGTATTTATACACTGCTCCACCATAAAGAAGGATAAGTTGAGTCATTTGTAAGAAAATGGATGCACCTTGAGACTGTAATGTTAAGTGAAATAAATCAGACACTAAAGATTAAATATCACATGGTTTCTCCTATAAGAGAAACCCAAAATATAAAGAGCAAGTAAAAGGTAACAGGAAGTAGGGAGACAATACTTCCCAAAGGAGAAGGGGATCAAGAGATGGAGGAAGGGAGGGAAGTGGATGAAAAGGAGAACGGAGATGTGTTATGTACATGTACCAACTCCCCACAAGGAGTGTAGTCACTGTGTACTACAAACATATACTAATAAAAAAGACTTGCTATAAAGCTGCAGCAGTCAACATGGTATGGCACTAGAGAATAGACAATCAGTAGAACAAGATAGGGAGGTCTGAAATAGACTCATATAAATAAAGTCAACTGATCTTGCCAGCAGAGATAATACAATAGAGCAGATAGTCTTTTCAGCACTGGAACAATTAGACATCCACATGCAAAAACATTAATCTAGGACTGGGTGTGGTGGTGCACATCTGTAATCCCAGCACTCAGGTGGCTGAGGCAGGAGGATTGCTGTGAGTTCAAGGCCAGCCTAGGCTACAAAGCAAGTTCAAGAGCCTGAACTGCATAGTAAGACCCTGTCTCAAAAAGACAAACAAAATGTAATCTAGAGACAGACCTTATACCCTTAAAAAAAAAATCTCAAAATGAATCAGAGACCCAAGTGTAAAACAAGAAGCTATTAAACTCTTGGAAAATAACATAGACTACTGAGGTGGCATTGGATATAATGAAGACCTTTTGGATATAACATCAGAGAAACAAGCTTGACAAGCTTGATTTCATTAAAATTAAAAGTTTCTGCTCTATGAAATGTCAAAAGAATGAGAAAACAAGCCATGATTTGGGAGAAAATATTTGCAAAGGATACATCTGAGAAAGGACTATTATCTAAAATATGCTGAGGACTCTTAAAACTCAATGATAAGAAAAAAATATTTTGTCATTTTTGAGACAGGATCTTGCTATGTCCTTCAGACTGGCCTAAAACTCACAGCAATCCTCCTACCTCAGCCTCCCAAGTGCTGGCATTTCAGGCATACATCACCACATCTGGCTAGAAATAGATTTTAAAACCAGAGAAAAAAATACTTACCGAAAAAACCTGAACAGGTTTCTCACCAAAGGAGATATACAAAAGACAGATGTGTATATCAACACCATATATCATCAGGGCATTGCAAATTGAACTGATTCCACCATGCACCTGTGAGAATAACCTAAATCTAAAACTCTGATAATACCAGATGTTGAAGAGGATGTAGAACATCTCATTCATTGCTGGTGGGAATGCAAAAGTGGTAGAGCCATATTTGGAAGACTGGCAGTTTCACACACAAAAAAGTAAACATACTGTTTCCATATAATGTAGCAATCATGCTCCTTGGTATTTACCAAATAAATTGAACATTTATGTCCACAGGAAAACCTGTACATAGAATTTATAGCTTTATTTGTACTTGCTAAACATGGAAGCAGCCAAAATGTCTATTAGCAGATAAATAGATAAATTGGTGTCCAGGAATGGAGTACACTGCTCAGCACTAAAAAAAAATGAGCTGTTAAGCCTTAAAAAATCATAGAGAAAATTTAAATGCATATTACTATGTGACAGAAGCTAATATGCAACTATAGGTCATTATTAAAAAAAAACTATAGAGACAGTAAAGAGATGAGTGGTAGTGGGGAGACGGGTGGGTTGTGGGGAGAGAGGGATAAATTGACAGGACACAGAAGCCTTTTAGGGTAGCAGAACTGTTGTATATGATGTTACCATGGTGAATGCTAATATAAGCACTGGATTTGGACTGATAAAGATGTGTCAATTCAAGTTCACCAAATGTAAGAAATGTACCAGTATGGTATGGGATAGCAGTCATAGAGTATATGGGACTCTCTACTCTCTATTCATTTCTGCTATGTACCTAAAACCATTATAAAAAAATAAAGTGTATTAATTTTTTGAAAATTTTAAAGTTTTGACATATGTAAGGAAAATTTTTATATGTATAGGGGAAATTTTTAAGATATATAAGAATTAAAAGTTCATATGGACAATATAGAGCTCATTTGAATCAATATGCAAAAGAATACCCCAATTTTTTATACAAACAACAGTAATTCGTATTAATATAATGAATGTCAAAAAATTAAATATTGGCCAGGCATGGTGGCACACACCTGTAATCCCAGCACTCAGGAGGCTGAGGCAGGAGGATCACTGTGAGTTTAGGGTCAGCCTGGGCTACAAAGTAAGTTCTAGGCTAGCCTGAACTGCAGAGCAAAACCCAGTCTCAAAAAAAAAAAAAAAAGAGAAAAAAAAGCATGTTACAAAAGAATATATACAGTATACCTTTATTTATATAAAAATTTAAAGGCAAAACCAAACAATATATTCTTTGAGGATTCACGTATATGTGGAAGTAAAACATCAAGGGAATGATGAACACTAAAGATCATAAAGCAGTTACCTCTGCAGGACAGAGTGGAAACGGGTGCCTTTCAAGAGAGGTATACAGACACTCCAAAGGAGCAGGCTATGCCAGTTGCTTAAACTTAATGATGAATCAAAGTTACTTATTTAGTATTATTCTTTGAGCTCCTTGAATACACTGTCTATTCTTTTATCTACGTGCTGTATTTAACACTGAAAATAAAATTAATGCATAGTGAATATGAATAAACAATTTACAGAGGAATAGAAGTACCATTAAATACATAAAAAGGCAGTCTACATCATTACTGATCACAGAAATATAAATTGAGGTACATTATCCTTTCTAAACTTTTAAAATGATAAGGACTCAAAAGATTGATAAATCCAGTGTCATTAAGAATATGAGGAGACAGGTGGGAAAGATGGAAGAAATTCCCTGCATGCAAAGGAGGCTAAAGATAGACGCAGACGCCCTGCCTGCAGCACTTTGCCCCCCCCCACCCCACACCACCTGCAGGTCCCACCAGCGTCCGGCTTGGAGGAGGGAACCAGGGCCGCCTCCACCCAGGAAAGTGCTCTTTGCCTCTCCTGTCTAGCTTTGCACAGTGGCAGTATGGCAGCCAGTGAGGTTTATCCGAGGCACAATTATTGCTAATTGAAAACTTTTCCCTTTCCTGTCTAAACCAAAACAGAAGTCAGGCTTGGTGGCTCACACCTGTAATCCTAGCACTCGGGAAGCTGAGGCAGGAGGATCGTTGCAAGTTCAAGACCAGCCTGGGTTACAAAGTGAGCTCACGGCCAGCCTGAACTGCATAGTGAGACCCTGTCTCAGAAAGACAAAAAATAAAAAATAAACCAGAACAGAAGTCCTGTGCATCTGCAGGACTCACCTGCAAAAAAAAATTTAAAAAATTAAAAAATAAGGGGAGACATTCTGTGGGTAGAAGAACAGTCCACTTTCTTTCTGGAAGACTTGTTATTGTGTATTAGCGTGACATTGAGGGAAGAGTGGTGTATACTACCTTGTTAGCTTATATTTTGTTACAATATTATGAAAATATGTTACATTTTTAATAAAAAATTGATAAATTATTTTAAAGGGTTAAGAAAATTCAGATACATCCACAGTTATATAAGAAATCAAACTATTAGTTTAAGTTCATGGTTAATGTTCAGTTTTATAAATTCATTTACTTTTATAATGATGTTATAAGTTAAAGGATATAATTTATGGGATCCTAAAAGGTGGAAATTAAGATCTTTGTCACTGAACTAAATTCTGTCATTCTTTCTATTGAGTGAAACAACTTTATTTATGTTAAAACAGAGCTACCAAAGAAAATGAGAAGAGTACATCAGTTGACACCTCTCAGGTAATCTAGATTGAGCAAGTTGTTACCTTCTTCATCACCATCATAATTATGCAATGTGTAATGAATTCTGTTCCTCCACAGAAGGATACATGTTAAATGCATTACTACATAGAAATGGAGTCATCTCTTTTGCTCACCTTATCATTTATTGATTCATTCATTCAGTTATTCATAAAGTCAGATTCATCCTGAGTGCCTGCTTTTTACTAGGTGTTATGTTAGGCAAAGATAATCAACCTTGAATAAAACAAATACCAAACCAGTGCTCACCGAACTTGTCCAATCTCTTAGGGAAAACAGACATTGAGTAAATACGTAGGAACAAGAAATGTTTTAGAGAAAGATGCTATGGGAGAGTATAACAAGGGACCTGACTTAAGATGAGGATCTACAAAAACCTCCCAAAGGAATTAATATTACAGTTGAAACTGATGCACTACTATGCATTATACAGTAAAAATTTTTTCTGGAGGGGCTGGGGACTATGTGCAAGAAGGAAGCAAGGAAAGCAAAGGGAAGAGTGGTAATACGGCTGGAGACATGAGCAGGTGCTGTTCTGCAGAGTCATAATAACTATCTTACTCAACAGTACCTCTAGCCAGGCATGGTGGCACATGCCTGTAATCCTAGCACTTGGGAGTCTGAGGCAGGAGGATTGTTGTGAGTTCGAGACCAGCCTGGGCTACAAAGTGAACTCAAGGGCAGCCTGAGCTTCATATGGGGACCCTGTCTCAAAAAGACAAAAAACAACAACAAAAAAAAAACCAGTACCTCTAATATGTCAGACACTGTTCAAGGCATTGGTGGTGCATCATCAAATAAATCTAAGTCACCTGTTTTGTCATGGAGCTTACCTTATAAGTCATGTTAATCAGTTTGAGTTTATCCTAAGAACAAATGTAAACCATAGAAATGTTCAAAGCAGCAAAAACACATAGTCTTTTTTTCTGTACTCAAAAGATTTCTGGCTGAATTATGAAGAATGGACACTCTAGAAATGTTGTCTTCATCCATAGCAACGTAAATCTTTTTTCTTAATTAGATACATGTTTATTGTTGTTCAAAAGTACATTTGGTTAGTTTTTAAAAATTTTTTATTTTCAAGAAAAATACAACAACCATTGTTGATTCTGTCACCTTGTATGTAGTTCAGTGTTGCTTATACTGTTCTTGTGCTACTTTGTAAATGTCTGTTTAATATGTTTTCGTTATTTCACTTTTAAAATAAAAAAAAATTTTTAAAAAGAAAAAGAAAAAAAGACAAGAAAATAAAAAACAAAATTCCAAAACAACATGATAGGAGGGTATCAAAGGTTAATACATTGCGTATTGTTGTCTTTAAATTAGTTACTCAGAGTACAAGATATCAGCATTTAATTGTCCAAATAACATTAGCACAAACCTGTCTTTTCAATGAACTGAGAGAAATTAGTGGTATAACTATTTTAACTATCTTTTGTATATGTATCTTTTCCTTTCTTTTTTTTTCCATTCCCCTAAACCAGTTTCTCTTTCCTTTTGGAGTTTCTTCTCACTTTACAATATCTATTATACATTTTGGATCACATTTTCTCTTTCAGCTTCTCACACTAGGGAGACAGTACAATGTTTACACATTTGTGTCTGGTTTATTTCGCTTCTGAGTATGGTGTCATGTTGCATCCATTTACCTATAAAAGTCTCCAATTTATCCTTCTTTATGGCTGAGTAATACTCCATGATATAAAGAAAACCACATCTTTTTTATCCATTCAGACATTCGTAGGCACTTGGGTTATTTCCAAGATTTAGCTGTTACCAATTGTGCTGCTATAAACATGGCTGCACATATATCACTGTGGTATGATGTTTTCAATTCTTCTAGAAGATACCCAGAAGGGGAATAGCTGGCTCAAGTGGGACTTCCAATCCTAGTTTTTTGAGGAATCTACATACTGATTTTCACAGTGGTTGTACCAGTCTACACTTGTACCAACAGTGGAGAAAAATTCCTTTTACCCCACAGCTCTTCCAGCATTTGTTATTGGTTGATTTTTTGATAATAGCCATTTTTTCTAGGTTGAGATAGAATCTCAGTATTGTTTTAATTTGCATCTCTCCAATGACCAGTGATGTTGAACATTTTTTCATTTTTTTTTTATTGTTTGTATTTCTTCATCTGAAAAGTGTGTATTCATCTCCCATGCCCATTTTTTGATTGGGTCTTTAAATTTGGGAGGTCTGATTTTTTTGAGTTCTTCATACATTTGTGATAGTAAACTTTTGTCTAAGGAACAGCCAGCAAACATTTTTTCTCATATTGTGGGTTGTCTCTTCACTCTTTGTGGTTTCTCTTACTGTGCAAAAGCTTTTTAATAAGATAAGATCCCTGTTGTTGGTTCTTTGTGATAGTTCCTGTGCAGTCAGGGTTTTATTTATAAAGTCTTTGCCTACACCAGTGTCTTCAAGAGTTTTACCTATTCTATGTTTCTGTCTTAATATTTAGATCTTTGATCCATTTTGAATTTAGTGCATGGTGAAAGATATGAGTCCAATATTAATCTTTGACATGTGCAGAGCCAGTTTTTCCAGCACCATTTATTAAAGAGGCTATCTTTCTTTCAGTGTGTGTGTTTGTACCCTTTGTCAAATGTAGGGTGGCTGAATATGTCTGGAGTTGTTTCTGCATCTTCTACTCTGTTCCATTGATCTTTGCATCTGTTTTTTTTTCCCCCGTATCATGCTGTTTTTATCATTGTAGCTTTACAGTATAATTTCAAAGTCAGGGATTGTGATGCCCCCTGCCTTGCCTTTGTTGCCCAGAATTGCCTTTACTATTCTAGGTCTCTTCTGGTTCCAAACGAATTTTAGGATTGTTTTCTCTAATTCTGTGAGATATGCTTTTGGAATTTTGGAATTTTGGAATTTTAATTGGAATTGCATTAAATCTGTATAATAGGTTTGGAAGTATGGCTATTTTCACTATATTGATTCTTCCTACCCAAGAACAAGGGATATCTTTCCATTTTCTGATACCATTTTAATCTCCTTTTTCAGATTACTATAATTTTTAACATAGAAGTCTTTTACATCCTTCGTTAGATTGATTCCTAGGTATTTCATTTTTTTGGATGGTATTGTGAAAGGTGTTGTTTCCCTAATTTCTCTTTCAGTGAGTTTGTTATTTGTGTATGGAAAGGCTATTGATTTTTGAGTGTTGACTTTATCTCCAGCTACACTACTGAATTTGCTTATTAAATCTAACAGTTTTTTAGTGGAGTTTGTGGGGTTTTCTGTGTAGAGTATCATGTCATCTGTAAACAGTGATAATTTCACTTTTTCCTTTCCTATCATTATTCCTTTTATTTCTCTCTCTTGTATAATTGCTCTGGCTAAAGTTTCCAGGACTATGTTGAATAAGAGTGAAGACAGCGCACATCCTTGTTTTGTTCCTGATTTTAGAGTGAAAGCTTTCAGTTTTTGTCCATTTAGTATGATGCAGGCTGTTGGTTTGTCATAGATGGCTTTTATCAGATTGCAATAAAGAGCATCTATTCCAATTTTCTGTAGGGTTTTTATCATGAATGGATACTAGACTTTGTCAAGCTTTTTCTGCATCTATTGAGATGATCATATGATTTTTTTCGTTGGCTCTGTTAATATGGTGTATCACACTTACTGATTTATGTATGTTGAACCATCTCTGCATCCCTGATATGAATTCCACTTAGTCATGGTGTATAATCTTCTTGATGATTTGTTGCATTCTGTTTGACAGTATCTTATTGAGGATTTTTGCATCTATGTTCATTAGGAAGATTGGCCTGTAGTTCTCTTTCTTGGTTGGGTCCTTCGGTCTTTTATAAGGCTAATAATGCTTGCTTCCAGAAATGAATTTGGAAGTATTGCTTCCCTTTCAATTTCATTAAAGAGTTTGGGAGGTATTGGTGTTAAATCTCTCTAAATTTCTTGTAGAATTCAGCAATGAATCCATCAGGGTCTGGGATTTTCTCTGTTGGTAGATTTTTAATTACATCTTTGATTTCATTGATATTATTTTCTTTAGGATTTTTATATCTTCTTGATTCAACTTTGGTAATTGTATGTATCTAGGAATCTGTCCATTTCTTCTGCATTTTCCATCTTATTAGAATACAAGTTTTTAAAGTAGGTACAGGTGATCTTCTGAACTTCTGCAGGGTCCCTTTTTAATTTCTAATTGTGTGGATTTGAGTCTTTTCTTTCCTTTTTTGATAAGATTGGCTAAGGTTTTGTCAATTCTATTTAATCTTTAAAAAAACCAATTCTTTGATTCATTGATTCTTTGTTTTATCTTTTTAGACTCCAATGTGTTAATTTTTGCTCTGATCTTTATAATTTCTTCCCTCATATAAGCTTTTGGCTTAGTCTGCTCTTCTTTTTCTAGAAGTTTGAGGTTCAACATTAAGTTGTTTATTTGTGCTTGCTATATTTTCCTGATATGGATATTCACTGCTATAAATTTCCCTCTTAGAACTGCTTTCATTGTGTCCCATAAGTTCTGGTATGTTGTATTGTCATTGTCATTTAATTGTAGAAACTCTCTAATTTCTTCTTTAATTTCATCCATGACCCATTGGTTGTTCAGGAGGGTGCTATTTAACTACCACGTGTTTATGAAGTTCTTTTCCCATTGATTTCCAATTTCATTGCACTATGGTCTCATAATGTGCCTGGGATAATTTCAGTTCCTTTGCATTTACTTAAGCATGTTCTATGGATTAGTATGTGGTCTGCTTTGGAGAACATCCCATGTGCAGCTGAGAAGAATGTGTATTCTGATGTTGTAGGATGGAACACTCTATAGACATCTACTAAGTCGATTTGATCAAAACTTTGGTTCATAGCCAGGCATGAACCAAAGGTGCACACCTGTAATCCTAGCACTTGGGAGGCTGAGACAGGAGGATTGCTGTGAGTTTGAGACCCGCCTGGGCTACAAAGTTAGTTCAAGGCCAGCCTGAACTGCATAAAGCCCTGTCTCAAAAAGGAAAAAAAAGTTTGGTTCAGTTCTATTATTTCATTGTTGATTTTTTGTCTAGTTGATCTGTCTTTTTGTGACAGTGGTGTATTGAAAGCCCCCAATACAATTGTATTAGTGCTTATTTGATTTTGCATGCCCATTAATATTTGTTTTATATAGCTGGGTACACTGGTATTTGTTGCATATATATTTATGATCGTTATCTTTTCCTCTTGGATTGTTCCCTATACAAGGATGTAGTGACCTTCTTTATCTGTCTTAATCAGTCTTGGTTTGAAATTTACTTTGTCTGCAAATAGAAGAGCTACCCGTGCTTTTTTCTGAGTTCCTATTACATGGAGTGTTGTTTTCCATCCGAGGACTTTCAGTTTATGGATTTCTTTTTGAATTAAATGTGTTTCTTATATGCAGCATATTGTTGAATCATGCTTCTTGACCCATTCTGCAAGTCTGTGTCTTTTGTGTGTGTGTGTGTGTGTGTGTGTGTGCTGGGAATCGAACTCAGGACCTTGTGCCTGCCAGATAGGCACTGTGCTGCTGAGCTTTCTCCCCAGCCCCAGTCTGTGTCTTTTGAATTGAGGCCATTGACATTGATGGTTACAACTGATATGTATTGACATATCCTTGTCATGTTATTTTCTTGTTGTTGGTTCCCCCTCTTTTTTTTTTTTTCTCCCTCTGTTTACTTGTTTGCCTTGCCTGGTGCATTCCTTCTGTTGGGGCTTATGGAGTTGTAGTCCTTGTTTTCTCTTTCTAGAATATCCTTCAAAACATATTGGAATGCTGGTTTGGTGGTCATAAATTTCCTGAACTGTTCTTTGTCATGGAAGTATCTTATGTCTCCATCAGTTTTGAAAGATAGTTTTGCAGGGTACATCAATCTGGGTTGAAGGTTGTTTTCCTTTAGAGCTTGAAATACTTTACTGCAAGCTCTCCTTGACTTGAGGGTTTGTGCTGAGAAATCACCTGTGATTCTGATGGGCTTTCCTTTATAGGTGATTTGGTTTTTTTCCCTCACAGATTTCAATATTCTATTTTTATGTTGAATTTCTGGAATCTTGACCGTGATATGCCTGGCTGTAGGGGTTTTTTGTTGTGGCCAATTAGAGTTCTGTATGCCTCACTTATTTGTATGTCAAATTGTTTTTCTCTACCAGGGAAGTTTTCTGTCATGACACCCATGAACAGTTTTTTTATATCATTTGTGCTATCTCCTGTTTTTTCATTGACTCCAATTAATCTTGTTATTCTTTGCATCATCTAGCAGCTATTATATTGATTTCTCATGGTCTCTTGCTATTTTTAAGAAATTTTTATTTTTGTGATCACTAGCTGCAAGCCTGTCTTCTATATCTGAGATCCTGTGCTCACATTGGCTTAATCTGCTGTAAATACTGTCAATGGAATTTATATTCTCCTGGATATCTGTTTGAATCTGCCTTATGGATTCTATTTCTTTCCTATGCTGAGCATTCATGTCTTCCATAATTTTCTTAAGCTCCTCTATTTTTTTTTTTTTTTGTGTGTGTGTGTGTGTATGTGTTTGCTCTAGAATCACTAAGCATGGTTTTCATTTTGGACACTATCTCTGCAGTTATCTGAGTGATTATTTCTGATTTGAGTTTTCTGGAGCCTCATTCAATTGCTTTGTTGTTACCAGTTCAGAGAGGCCAGGTGGGTAGTTTTTGGATTGTCCCACCTCATTGCCCCTTAGGTTTGCCTTTGGTGATATTTGGGGTTGCATCTTGTTTAAGTGTCTCCTCATTTTATTTTCTTTCTTTTTTCTTATTTTTTAGTTTAATTCCTGGAGCGATATTTGTAACAGCCCTTTAGAATGATTATGTCACTTTTGGTTATAGTAGCACCAATGACAATAACATAAAATACAACCTAGAAAATGACAAACTAAAGTAACCATTAATTTGCCACCTTTAATTCTGTGAACTAGATTTGTGATTATATAACAATATCTAAAATAAACCAGAAAATGTGTACAGTATACAAGTCCTTAATATGTAAATTTTGCCCTCAGGGGTTAAAATTTAAAATGGGTTAGGAAGAAAATAGAGAAGTGGATGAACAGGAAGAATTAGAAGGCTGGAGGACTTCTAACTTTAGGAAACTGGTGCTGAAGGTTGGAAGGAGAGGAGGAATAGATAAAATGAGGAACTGAACAGAACCAGAACCAAAGGCTAGACACCATGTTCACACTCATATAAATACAAGTTCAAACAATGAAGGAAAAAGAAAAGGAAAAATAAACATACAAAGACAAAACAAAAGAACAAAACAAAACAATACTCAAAAAAGGTAAACTACAACAACAACAAAAGGGGAGCACAAAACAAACAACAACAAAAAAGTCCACTTCCAGGTTTGTTTCTGCTGTCACTGGTAAACAACAGATAAAGACAGCGTCCCTGATCCATGTTGATTTATCCCAAAAAGCCAACAAGCCTGTATCCTTTGGTGCTTGCAGCCATCAGCACACCTTCTGCAGACCTAAGCCCAGCTGGGGCCCCCTGGATGGAGTCAGCAGCCACTCTGAGTTCTGAGCTCTATGGCTCTCTCTCCAAAATAGTTCCCTGCCAATTGCTCTCTCATGTGTGATGCCTGCACACTTGGCACTCACCCACAGATAGTGCAGTCCTTCACGTCTGCTGCTCCCCTCTGCTGCTGCTTCTCTCCATAGAGGCCTCTGGGGTCGCCAGCACTCCCCATGTGTTGGCAGGTTTGGACTGCTTCTCTCACACAGTGTTTCCCATCTCTGGAAGAGGGTGCTGCCAGCTACCTCCTTCTTCATTGAAGTTTCTCTCTTCACCCTCTCTGTGGGCTTCAATTTGTGCCTCAGCTCCTTCCTGAGTCTGGGAGGACTTGCCTTCCTCCTTCTTATCTTCCCTGCATTGCTATATTCCAGCATCTGGATGGCAACACTTGGAGAGGTTCTTTCTTGGTTGCTTAGCACTCCACCATCTTGCTGCTCCTCCTCACATAAATCTTAAGAGAAGCCTGACAATAGCTATGGCTACCTGGAATAATAAAATAATAGCACAGTAAGGACTTCATGCATGCTAGGCAAGCACTGTACCCCTGAGCTACGTTCTTTTTATTAAGAGCTGATCCAGCTGAGCATGGTGGCACATGCCTGTAATCCCAGCACTTGAGAGGCTGAGGCAGGAGGATTTTTGCGAGTTCAAAGCCAGCCTGAACTGCACTATCTCAAAAAGACACACACAAAACAAAACAAAACTGATCCATAGTGATGAACATAAGAGAATTTTTTCCATTTCCAAATAAAGATGATAAATGTATAGCTTTACTCAGAGTTGTGATAAAATCTCAAATCAGCTTTTGAGGAGATGCCTAATTAAGATAGCTTATGCATTGTTGTTGTTGCTGTTATTTTATAGTATTGGGAATTAAACCCAGCTTCTTCACACTGAGCTACATTCCCAGCCCTTTTGATTTTTTCTTATTTTGACACAAGGCCTCACAGAGTTGTGTAGGCAGGACTAGAATTCATGATCTTTCTGCCTCAGCCGCCTAAGTTGTAGAATTACAGTGATTTTTGAGCCACAAATCCTTTGCAAGAATTTGATGAAAGTTCTGAATCATCCCTATAGAAAAAAAATGTAATTTCATATTGTCTGAGGGATTTCACACTCTAAAACCCATCCATGGACCCAAAATAATGTTACATTAAAGATTTTGGTGTGATTTTTTTAAAAATGTACATGTTCACTTTATAGAAGCTTTAATTATGAAAATACAATCTTGAAATTAAGAGCTCATTTTAAAGAAATATGCATTTCACTTGTACAGTTTTTTTTAAACTTCATTTTACTAGGGGAAATACTTGTAAAGCTAAAAAAGTGCACAGCTCTAGATTAAAAGGTTGTTGATTTGAGCAGTTATTGTCATCCCAGCTAACTTGATTTCTCAAACCAACACAGTGTAGTGTCAGAAGTCTAGCTAGTTAATTGAAGTAGGAAAAAAAATCTGTTTAGAGTCTCTCAAAATAGACTGATGTTATTTGATTCTCAGTGTTCTGTGTCACAAGTTTATAATAAAGATATTTCTTACATATGCAAAGACTACATTTTTCAAAGTGCTTTCAGATCATTTTAGTGTGTGTAAAGATATTCATGTCAAATAGTATAGTAATTCCACTGGGCGTAGTGGCACATGCCTGTAATCCCAGCACTCGGGAGGCTGAGGCAGGAGGATCTTTGCAAGTTCGAGGCCAGCCTGGGCTACAAAATGAGCTCAAGGCCAGCCTGAACTGCATAGCAAGACCCTGTCTCAAAAAGACAAAAAAAAAAAAATATATAGTATTTCCTCAAAAAATTAAGCAATTAAAATCTAGCTAGGTTTGGTGGCACACACCTATAGTCACAGCACTCGGGAGGCTGAGGTAGGAAAATTGCCATGAGTTTGAGGCCAGCCTGAGCTACATAGTGAGTTTAAGGCCAGTCTAATTATAGAGTAAGAGCCTGTTGCCATAAAAAAAAAAAAAGTTGAAAATCTGATCCAGCAGTTGCACTTCTAGGCACACACCCAACAGTGAAGGCATAGCAGCACTATTCACAGTAGTCAAAAGGAGGAATCCATTCAGGTGTCTAATGATGGGTGAGTGCATAAACAAAATTATGTACATGCAATGGAATATTAGTCAGCCTTAAAGAGGAAAGAACTTCTGATACATATTACAAAATGAAGACATCCTAAGTGATACAAGCCAGTCACAAAAGAACAAATACTATATGACTCCACTTTATGAAGTACTCAGAGTAGTCAAATTCCTACAAACTGTAAAATGGTGTTGCCAGAGATGGTGTGTGGAGAAAAAGGGAGTTATTGTTTCATGGCTAGGGAGGGTCCTTTTAGAAAAATGAAGTTCAGGAAATAGATTGGTGATAATTCCATCAAACAACAGAGTAACTGTACTTAATACCAGCAAAGTATAGTTTTGAAAATGGAAAATTACATGTATATATAACATAATTGTATATTTTTTTTACCACAAAAAAAATGTATGGCAGCCATAGTTCATAAGGATGATTATTGACATTTACATTAAAGACTTGATTTGTGAAATGTACTGACATCATAAGTTGGTCTTCTAAAACATAAACTTATTTTCTTAGTCTTATTTTTTAATAAGCCAAATATGCTTTGTAGTAACTGTTACACTTTATAAGCTCAGTTTGCACCCCTTTTTGTACCAACAGGAAGATCAAGAGGATCTAGGCCTGTGGGAAGAGAAATTTGGAGATTTTGTGGATGTCAAAGCTAATGGTAAATTAAAATGAGTAGTATTAAAACAGATCATTCCAAAATGTCTAAATATCTCTCAGTCCCTGTACTTTGGCAGCTAAAACAAGTAACTTCTGTAAGGAAAATCTCAGATTTGGGTTCCTCATCCTTCCATAATGCATTCCAACAGAGAAGTGGTGATTCTATGCATTTGGTGGGGAGTGGGAAAAGTATAGGCCACCTGTAACTCCTGGTCTCAGAAACAGGCCTGGGACAACACACTGTTTGCATTATCCAGTACATTAGATAGCCACAAACTCCTCTCTCTGTGTGTCTGTCTGTGTGTGTGTGTGTGTGTGTGTGTGTGTGTGTGTTAGAAAGAGACTGGGGATTGAACCCAGGACCTTTGCATTGAGCTGTATCCGTGTGTCTCCAGACCTTTTTTATTTTTTATGTTGAGCTAGAGTCTCACTATGTCAGAAAGTTGCCCAAGTTGGGCTTGAACTTCTAGTACTCTTGCTTCAGCCTCCCATAGTTCTGGGATTATAGGCATGTGCCACCATACCTGGGTGTTCACATTCTATTTTTATGAGATGTAAATGATGGGAAACTAAGTTCTTGAGCTCGTCAGATCTAGTATTCTAATCTACTGTTCTCAGCGTTTTTCAGGCCTCCACATCATTCCCATGGGTGTCACATACCCATCTGTGACATTTCTCATTATCTTAGTCATCTTGCCCATTGCTGGACATGATACCTGATGCTCACAACTTAAGAGAGGAAAAGGTTTAATTTAGCTCACAGCTTGGGGAATTTAGTTCATGGTCAACTGGCTCCAAGGCAGGCATTTCATGGAGGAAGGCATGGAGAAACAGAGCTGCTTATTTCATGGTGACTGGGGAGCAGAGCAGGAGAGCAGCACCTGAGATGAACCAGTGAGGGCCCATGTATAGCACATATGTTCACACCTCCATGACACACCCAGGAACATGCACTACTAATCAGCTAGGTATTTCTTAATCCAATAAAGTTAACCTATCAGCATTTACAGGAAGTGGGGATAGAGTTTGTCACTTTAGGAGGTACTTTACTGCTTCATGGGGGTATGTGGTTAGAAAAATATGTAGGGAGTGGTTTTCAGGGTCTTCTTTCTGTAATATAATATTTTGTATCTTTTCTTTCCATAAACTCCTATAAATAAGGACCATTTGGTGTCAGCTACTTTAACATGAGTGTAAATTTGTCACTGTTATCTGTCTAGTTATTTGCACTTTTTCCATACCTCTAAAATAGCTGAAATAAAGGACTTTGCGTTTGTTTAAAGGAAATTTATATACATACAGTTATAGGGAAATAGTATTTTGAGGAGCTAGGAAAGGCCTTTCTAGTTACCCTTGACATGACAGTCCTTGTAGGCAACCATAAGACAGGGCAGGCAGTACGAATTAGTTACCATGGAGAAGATATTCATTCACCTAGCAAAGATTAAAAGTGCTCAATAGTCTTTTCTCCCCAAAGCAAAGACATATATGATGTAGTTTATAAAAGTTCTAAAACATTGTAACTGTATTTTACAGGTAGCAAACAGGTATACATTTGCTATAAATGAGGACACACCTTCAGCACACAGTTAAGGCAACATGAGTAAAAGTGATCAGAGAGTTTGGCCTGGTGTTTAACAGTACCTGAGTACAATGTCTTCCAGGGTCAGGGCAGAGCATTTGCTGATTGATAGGAGAAGTTCAGGTCTCCCTAACGCTGGTCTAGTCATCTTGCTATACTGTACTCAGAGTCAACAGAATCTCCTTAATTGATGGTCCTTTTGAGAAGCAAAACGTAATCAGCATTCTGGTCTTTACAGGTCCTTCCTCCATTGGTTTAGATTTCTCCTTGCATGGATTTGAACATGTCTATGGGATCCCACAGCATGCAGAATCACACCAACTTAAAAATACTAGGTAAATAAAAGCAAGAATTACAGGAGACTCTCATTTGATACCACCTGTAGAATTTTAAGAACCTTCCTTGAATGGTCACCCAAAGCAGAAGGTTTAGTAAAAACTAGACAATTATAAAAACTATAATACTGAACTTAATAATACAGAAGAACCAAAAATAGGAAGCTGCTGTGATTGAAGCAAGGGAGAGATCTTTCTCTCTAGGTCCCGTGCTTACCCTACAGGGCTTTTTTGTGGAACTTTGGGAGAAGGCGCTGTGAAAGATCCACTGACCTTAAAAAAAAAAAAAAAGAAAAGCCATTACTCTAAAGAGAACAGTGAGCCAGAGAGCTGAAAAGTATGGCATCTCGTACTGCCTGTGATTCCCTCAGGGAGATCATTTCAGGCTTATAGTGACAAATAGATCCAAGAGCCATCAAACTAAGAGAGGAAAAAGAGAGAAATAGAGTCTGGCCAAGGGTGCCAGTTTCCTGAATCATTTACCTGACAGGTAGATGTAGTGACAAGTCCGTCCAAAACTATGCTGCTCTCATATCAGTATGGCTCTGTACCCCACCCCCACCCTGATTCAGTTCCTGATCTTTCCCTGTGGGGAAGCATATTAAGACTTCTCCTTTTGTTCTAGCTGCAGAGAAGTGCTCACAAAATGTATCAGAGAATGCTTAGTGTGTGCTTGTATTGTAGAGATGTCACAGGAGACAGATCTCCCCCTCACAAGAGATGTTTAGGAAAGAAAGCTAAGATATAGGGATGCCAAAGGAACCAAAGGAGGAGAGTCACATTCACCCAGGTTGGTTCAGGAAATCTTTAGGGAACTGGTAAGTGTTCTATCCATGAATAATGCATCTGTGATGGTAAATGATGATCCTTATTGTTTTAGGAATGGAGATGCTTACCGTCTCTATAACCTGGATGTCTATGGATATCAAATACATGACAAGATGGGCATTTATGGCTCAGTGCCTTATCTACTAGCCCACAAACTGGGCAGAACTATAGGCATTTTCTGGCTGAATGCCTCAGAAACCCTAGTGGAGATCAATACAGAGCCTGCAGTAGAGGTGAGCTGTGAATCATGGCTGCATGTCATACTTACAGAAGAAACACAACCACTGCATGGTAGTCAGAGCTCTTTTTTGTGGTGACAATTTTCTGCTACCAAAAGTATTGTAGTGCAATCCAAAAGTCAGTAGTACTAAAGGAACAGACTCACATACAATTGGGTGTTGTAGGTTAGAGAAAAATTTCTCAGGTTTTCATTCCATTCCTTTTCCAGTACACACTGACCCAGATGGGCCCAGTTGCTGCTAAACAGAAAGTCAGATATCGAACTGATGTGCGCTGGATATCTGAGAGTGGAATTATTGACGTTTTTGTACTGACAGGACCAACACCTTCTGATGTCTTCAAGCAGTACTCATGCCTGACAGGTATTTGCATGTAGAAGTGCCATTTGCAGTTCCATTGGAGTCCTTTATCTCACGTATTATCACTGTAAGTTAATTTTTGTTTCACACTATGTAGAATTTATAAACTTACTTCAGCATTTTAAGTAGCAAAGCATTCCTCCTCCTTCCCTCATGGTATTCAGCCCTGTTAAACATTACGCTGGATATAGAACTGTCCACTCCCTCACCCCTAATACTTGCCATTTGCCTTCCATAGAGCACTTAGTCTCTGGGTGTTAATCTACCTCTAACTCAGCTGACCAATAGCCCAACCTGAACTTTGCAGGTTTTCTTCTGTGTTAAAATATACCACTTGTTTAAAAAAAAAAAAAATAAACAAACCACTGGTTTTAATAAAGCATTTTACCTTTTAAAAACTGCAAGTGTGGGTAGGGACGGAGCTCTGTGGTAGGGCATTTGCCTTAAAGGAGCCCCATAGCCTCATGTGATTGTAGACAGGGGTTTGGGGATATGATTACATCACTGAGATGCTATATTCATTGGTGGATTAATCCATCAGTGAGTTTATAGCTGAACATGGTGTTAGGAGCTGGAGCCTAGTCAAAAGAGCTGGTTTATTGGGGGGAGGGCTGAAAGGGCATATCTCCCTCCCTGGATCCTCCCTTTGTGTTCTGCTTCCTATCCACTTTGAGGTGAGTTTTTCTCTGACCAGACCCTTCCACTATGCTGTTGACGATGCAAGGACTGAAATTACTAAAACATGAGCCAAAATAAACCTTTCTTCTTTTAATCTGTGGGTCCCACCCATTTGTGGATGGATATTTTGTCCCAGCAGTGAGGAAAGTGACTAAGACATATGATCCAATATATGGAAAACCTCAAAGAATCCACCAAATGGGAAAAAATACTACAAGAGCTATAAATCCAGCAAGGTTTCAGGATACAAAGATCAAAACACAAAAATCAGTTGTGTTTCTATACACTATCAATGAAATAATTCTAAAAAGAAATTAAGAAAACAATTCTATTTACACTACCATCCAAAAAAGTAAAATAACTAGAAACAAACTTAACCAAAGAAGTTGTATTAGTCAATATTCCATTGCTGTAACAGATCCCTAAGGCAATCAGCTTATAAAGAGAGAAGGTTTATTTTGGCTCAGAGTTTATTTTGGCTCAGTCCATCATTGATTGGCCCATTCCTTTGGTCCCATGGCAAGTCTGTGTGTCATGGTGGAAATACATAGTAGAGCAAAACATTAACGTCACAGCCAGGATGTGAGAGAGAGAAGAGGTGGGGGTTCCACAGTTTCCTTGGAGGGCAGGTCCCAAAGACCTAAAGACCTCTAGACCTCTTAAAGTCTCCATCACTTCCCATCTTGCCTGTCTGGGGACCAAGTCCATGGGCCTTTGGGGAACATTCCAGATCTAAACTGGCAGATGAGAAAGACTTGAACACTGAAAACTACAAAACATTACTGAAAGAAGCCATAAGTAAATGGAAATGCATACTTTTGCCTCCTTTTTGCCTCTTTTCTTCTCCTTTCTGTAAAACCATCTTTTTTCCTAGCTTCTCCCTTGGTTGATAATTTAGCTGGCTAGATTAAAAATTCTTTGTGCAGAATTTGTGTTTCTCTATTGTCTTCTGGCTTCTTCCTCCAAAACCATTCTTAGTTCTATTGCATTGAACATGACCTATCTTTTCTGTCTGAAATACCTCTCTTTAATATTCTGAACTTTTATAATGAAATTCCTCAATGCAGATCTTTTAAAATAATTATTGTGCTTGATTCTTTCAGTCTTAAGATTTTTGCTGTTCAGCTGTGGGAAACAGTTGTATATTATGCCTTTCATAATTTCTTTCCCTCCTTTTTTTCTCCCCTTTTAATTTTACGACCTTTTCCTTCTTTGCCTATTTTCTGAACAGCGTTCTCAATTCTATCTTCCAGGCTTTCCATTTATGCTGTCATATTTCTAATGTCTAAAAGTACTTTCTTATCCTTTGATTACTCCTTGTTTCTATTAGCTTGTGCTTGTTTTATGCCATCCGAGTCTTTTTTATGGATACAGTATTCTTTTTCATCTCTAGAGTTGTTAATGATAAGGTTTTGATTGGTTCCTTATATTGTACCTGTTTGCTGAAGATCTATTTATTGTATTTTTTTATTTGAGTTCCTATCTCTAATTTTGGAGACTTTTCTTAAATGCAGCTCTGCCTGGAAGCTCTGTGTGCCTGGATGTCTTACATGCTAGTGTTGTTGGGGTGACTGGGTGCTCTCCTCCCTGTATGCGATCTAGGAGCAGGGACGAGCTCTCCTCGTCAGCATTCCCCTCACAAGCACTCTAGGGAAGCCGCCCTGGCTGTGTTACTATCCTCCTCTGCCCATCACCTTCTAAATTTTTGTTCAGATGACTCCTCCTCCACTCTCTTTGTGTTTGTAGCTTTATTCTTTTTTTAATTTGCTCTGATTTTAGTGAGACTTTTAGGAGAAAAATACAAACGGTCTACCAGAAGTCTTCCATGACTTTTTTTTTTTAATTTAAAAATTCCTGAATTTTGTTATTCCTGGTACTGCTACCACAATTTACAGGGCAATATACCTGATGTAATGAAAAGAAAGAAAAAGGCAAAGCTACAACAGATAAAAGACCTCAGGAATGTACATCTAATTGATTCTACATTGCATTAATCAATAGCTGCACTCACTTTTTGCAAACTGTGGCTGTGACAATCCTGAACCAGAAGTGTTTCCAGTTTAAGCTACAGTAACTTTTCTGACTATGAATCATCGTTCCTTCTGTGGCAGGTTTTTACAATTCCTCTAATGCATTTGGAACGACGGTCTCAAAGTAACCTGCAGCCTTCCTGACAGCTCCTCACTCTCTCTCCTGCTAAGAACTGTAGCCCTTTTCTGTTGTTTTTTTTTTTTTTAAAAAAAAAAAAACCTGCTACCATATCCACCACTTCCACCACTAGATCCATAACCACCCCCATAGGGACAGCCAGAGTGTCTTCTACCAAAACTGCCCCCCTTCATGGGTCCATAATTTGATTGCTATTGTCCACTATAATTTCCAAAATTTTTTTTGGGGGGGGTTGGTTTTTTCCAGTACCAGGAATCAAACTCATGACCTTGCGCTTGCCAGGCAGGCGCTGTGCTCCAAAATCTTTATAGTTACCACCACCACCATCGTTACCACCACCAAAATTTCCTCCTTCATTGTAAGCATCATATCCTCCTCCACCACTACCATATCCACCACCTTAGTTTCCATATCCTGGTCCACCACCGCCATACCCTCCTCTACTACTGTAACCAGGGCCACTATCATAGTTTCTACCATCACCTCCAAATCCATTATATCCACCATCACCTCCTCCATAACTACCTCTGCTGCCACCTCCTCCACCACCATAGCCTCCTCTTCCACCAAAGTTTCTAGTATGGACAAAATTCCCTCCACCACCTCCAGAGTTTCCTCCGCGACCCATAAAGTTGCCAGATCCACCTCCATAACCTCTTTATGATCCAGCAAACTGCATTTCTTGTTTAGAAAGGGCCTTTTTGATTTCACAGTTATGCCCATTAATAGTGTAATATTTCTGAACAACAATTTTATCAACTGTATCATGATCAAGTTACAAAAGCAAATCCTCTCTTTTTCCCACTCTGTCTGTCTTCCATAATTTCTATGGTTTCAATCTTGCCATATTTTTCATAGTAGTATCTCAAATTATATTCTTCTGTATCTTTAATACCACCAACAAAAATTTTCTTCACTGTTAGATAGGCACAGGCATTAACTGAATCCTCTAGAAACAGCTCTCTGTGGCTCCACTACATGCCCATGAACTTCGTGTGGTCGAGCACACACTGCTGCATCTACCTCTTCAACACAAGAGTAAGACACAGAACCAAAGCCTCTGGAGCATTCTGTTTGGGATCTCTCAACACACCATCTGTGAGTGTACCCCATTTCTCAAAATGTTCTCTTAAACTATCATCTGTAGTTTCAAAGCTCAGACCACCAATAAACAGCTTCCTTAACTCCTCTGGTTCCTTTGGATCATGGCCCTCCTTCCCTCAACGGTGGCAGCAACAGCCGGAGTCAGGCTGGGGACCACCAGGAGGTGGTTTTACCTCCATTTTGAAACCAGACTCGCATCTTCTAATTCAAGTTCAATATGGGACTGAGAGGAAGAGGCCCATGACGTTTTTACAGTCATTTCCTGGCAGTTCTTCCTAACTTCAGTCACTTTCCCTTCGGTCAGCCTTAACACTGCTTCCTGCCTTCATGTCTTAAGTCATATTATGGAACAAACCCAGGGCCTCATTCATGCTAGTGGTGGGCAAGTGCTCTACCACTCAGCTACATGTCCAGCCCCTCACTTAATTGTATAATACAAATCTGCGTGGTTACACCTGACCAAATTTTTGTTGGCTTCCTGTAAAAGAAGATCCAGAATTCTTAGCCTGAACTAACTACAGGGCCCTTTACAAACTGACCTTCTCCAGTTTCATCTCTTGGTCTCCCTTACCTTGGGGTATTTATTCTTCCCTAAGCCTGTCATGTTGTTCCCGTACCTGGAATACTCGTATTTGTTCTCCTTATCTGGAATATTCCTCCTTATTCTTTAAGATCCAAACCAAGATCACCTACTCTGTGAAGCCTCTCAAGACCCCATTTCACCACAGACAGACTTTATTACCTCTTTGTGTTCCCCCAACAGTAGGCTGATACCTTTAACACAGCAATTATACCTCAGGGCAAAGTATTTTGTTTTTGTTTTTGCTTCTTTGAGGCAGGGTCTTGCTATGTTATTCAGACTCACGAACTCACTACGCAACCCAGGTTGGCCTCAAACTCATGACAGTCCTCCTGCCAAATTGTGACTTCCTTAGAAGGAGAGACTGTGTTTCCTGTTCTTGATCTTCTGTCTTTAGTATCAGCTTCAGTGCTTGGTAACCTCACCCCCTCCACCCGCACAGACATTAAGGAAATGTTTACCAAGGAATAATGATTACTATGATGATTACTGTGATGGTCATTGACTCAGCCATCATCTTTCCCTTTTAGGTTCTCAAGCCATGCCCCCTCTCTTTTCCTTGGGGTACCACCAGTGCCGCTGGAACTATGAGGATGAGCAAGATATCAGGGCAGTGGACACAGGATTTGATGAGCATGACATTCCCTATGATGTCATATGGCTGGACATAGAGCACACGGAGGGCAAGAGGTACTTCACCTGGGACAAAGAAAGATTCCCAACCCCCAAAAGAATGCAAGAGCTGCTTAGGAGCAAAAAACGTAAGGTAAACTAAGCCACTATTTTGGAACTTTTAAATTATAAAGCTCTTTAAGATTTTTAAATTTGTCTTGGTACTTTAGCGGAGGAAGACTATCTGATTTAAAAAATGGCCATGGAAAACAAAAAGAGGCTGTGAAAATAGTACCTTCAAATGTAACTGTAACTGTTATAACAGAAAATGAATGGAGAAAAGGGGATGGCCCACTCCATCGCTGCTTTCATTGTCTGAGGCTCCAGAATGGTGAAGGGGCTGAGTGTGTCCAGTCGCATTTGCTGCTGTGGCCCTGTAGTAGTGTGATGAGGTGCCACGCACACACTCACCAGTTTTGACGCTGGAACCAAATTTTGAGTGCAGGGCACCTCATCACACTGCTACAGGCCACAACAGCAAACGGGACTGCTATAGAAAACATACGGCATTTCTTTAAAAAATGAAAAATAGAATTACCATCTGATCGAACAGTTCCATTTCTGGATATACACCCAAAGGAACTGAAAGCAGGAACTCAGCTGGGTATGGTGGCACATGCCTGTAATCCTAGCACTCTGGGAGGCTAAGGTAAGTTCAAGCCAGCCTGGGCAACTTACCAATTTAATGAGACCCTGTCTCAGAATAAAAAATAAAAAAGAGCTTGGAGATAGGTCAGGGCAAAAGCTCTGGATTCCATCCCCAGTATAGGGAAAAGGGAGATAATTTTTTTTTAAAGCAGGAATGCACATATTTATACACCTATGGTCAGAGCAGCATTAGTCATGGTTGCCAACGGATAAAATAAACTGAAGGGTCTCTAGATAGTTGATTAAAAAAAATTTTTTTTTAAATTGCAGACTACACATACAATGGTATGTTACTCATCCTTAAAAAGAAGAATTCTAATACATGTTACAACATGGTGAACCTTGAGGACACATAGTAATTGAAGGAAGCCAGTCACAAAAAAAGCAAACACTATGTGATTTCATTAGTTTGAAGTAACTAGAATAGTGAAGCTTATAGAGACAGAAAGTTAAAAAGTAGTTGCCAGGAGGGGATAAAAATTTGTTTTTTAACTGGTATGGAGTCTCAGTTTTACAGGAGTTCTAGAGACTGGTGCACAACAGTATGAATGTATTTACATGGCTGAATGATATACTTAAGAGTGGTACAGTGTGTGTTATGCATATCTTACCATAATTAAACATCTTGAAGCCTTTGAACAATGAAGAATTAAACTTTAGCATGTAAGATGGATTAAAGTAGAGATATGTAAAAGGTTGTTTTAGTCAAATAAAGTGGTTTGAGAGACCTCAACTAGGTGGATGTGATGTACTAGAAAGACAGGGAGAGATGCTAGAGACTTGGAGCTGTTGCTCATGACTCTTCTCAGATCTCCTTCCTAAATATGCCTGTATCATTGGGCTTGGGGTTGCTTGTTTGTTTGTTTGTTTGTTTTTAAAATGTTATTCTTTTGCTTTCTTTAATATTTGCTTTTATAACCAAACATGGCGGTGCACACATGTAATCCCAGCACTTAGCAGACTGAGGCAAAATTTGCTTTTATCAGTGTTGTCTTAGCCTCTAAATGTCTAGGGAGCAGGACCCTGGCTCTTAGTCCTTTCAGTGTAACATGCAACCCCCAGTATCACAGACAGATAGCTTAGTAAATTCCACTTAAGAATACACATTTGTTAGGCAGCAATAATTACAAAAGAATTCTGGTCTGGTTTTTGTTGGGTTTTTTTCCGGTACCAGGAATTGAATTCACGACCTTACGCTTGCCAGGCAGGCACTGTGCTGCTGAGCTAAATCCCCAGCCCTCTGGTATGGTTTTGATATTAATTTAAATTTCCATAATCATATGAAGGTTAGAGAGTTTTACCAGTGTCTGAGGTATTTTAATATGAGTTGTAGTTGCTTCTGAATAAAATTTGAAGCCTAACATTATAGTAAAAACCTATAAATGAACATGTCATGTAAAACTGATGAAATCTTCAACCCTTTATGTCCTGACAGCTCGTGGTCATCAATGACCCTCACATTAAGGTGGATCCTGACTACTCAGTGTACACTAAGGCCAAAGAACAGGGCTTCTTTGTGAGAACTCATGAAGGGGCTGACTTTGAAGGAATATGCTGGCCTGGTACGACATCATTTTATACTTACTGTATTCATGTGTTCAGTTCCCATTACTGAATATCATATAGCTGTCATCCTTGTGCCTTGCAGGTGTCCCTTACTCCTCTAGCTACATTTTAAGCACCTTTAAAGGGGAGATGGTATTGCCTTCTTTAGTATATGTCATACCATCTTTCATAACATCCAAAGCATAGATTTCTTTGGATGAATTTCAGTCACTAATCAAATGAATGAATGTAAAATAAGCAAACCTCAGTGACATGCTATTTCTCTAAGCAAAAAGACATAAGTAGGGAGTGAGAAAATGGGAGGAAGAAAGAAAAAATGTGTCCTGAAGGCTGTCTCTTGTGCTTGCTCTCTGCTCTTTTAGGATATGGTTTTGTCTTCCCAGACTTTCATGAGTAACCTCAGCTGCTTCTGGCAACTACAGATATTTCATTTCAAAAGCTATTAGTTTAGTCCAGCGTGGTGGCACATGCCTGTAATCCCAGTACTCAGGGGAGGCTGAGGCAGGAGGGTTGCTGCAAGTTCAAGGTCAGCATGGGCTACATAGTGACTTCAAGGCCAGCCTGTACTGCATAGCAAGACCCTGTCTTAAAAAACAAACAAATAAATAAACAAACAAAGATATTAGTTTAAGCTGGTTGTAGTGGCACACACCTGTGATCCCAGCACTTGGAAGGCTGAGGCAGAAGATCACCAAGAGTTTGAGGCAGCCCGGGCTACACAGTGAGTTCAAAACCCTGTCTCAAAAAAACAAACAAACAAAAAAAGTTATTTAAAGCTGTGGTGGGAACTCACCCCAAACAAAAGGAAATTGCCATTCTGTCATACCATAGAACTCTATCGGAAACCCACACACTGTGTAGAAGCCCAGGTCTTCTTTTTCTCTCATGGAACCAATGGAACAGATGTCTCTATTCACTTTAAAAACTGAGAGGCCACTGCAGGATACTTGCATGCCTTGTGCAGGCTGTCCTGAACCATTAATTAGTGAAGGACAGACTGTGACTTGATGCTTGTTCATTGGCCTTCCCCTGTGACTCTGGTGTTGGAAGGTCTAGTGATGGCCCCTAGAGTCCAGTACTATCTTCATTCACTTCTTAGAGGATGCCTCTGTCATCTGTCTTTTATGCTTGATGTAAGATATGCATTGATTATCTAGTTTTTGCATCTGACATCTTCTTTACAACACATCTTACTGTGAAGACCACTGCTCCTAACAGGCTGTCTCCTGCTGTGCCTCAACAGGTCTCTCCTCTTACCTGGATTTCACCAATCCCAAGGTCAGAGAGTGGTATTCAGGTCTTTTTGCTTTTCCTGCTTATCAGGTTTGTTTTTGTTCATTTACTTTTTCCTAGTTAACTTGAAAAAATGAAAGAAAAAGTGATTAGATAGAACTCCTCTTCACTGAGTAGCTCTTGATGTGTGATGCCTGTGTGAAAACCCAGTGGTGGCCACCACGGGAGACTTGGGCAGTGCTGCAAGAGGCATCACGTGCATGACTAAATGCACAAAAGCTGTGACCTCTGCTGTAGTAGACTCTGTGATATACCAATGTACATATAACAGATCTGTTATATTTTCAAAGTACTAAATACATTTTAATACAGAATAGCATCCAATAACTGTTAAAGAGATACGATAAATGTGAAAACATATAATGCGTCAATAAAAGTAAAGTATTATTTTAAAATATTACAAGGTCTGGTGGTTTAAAGAAAGGAACAATTAATGCTTAAATTTTTTAAATATTTTGTCCAATTTTGCATGCTTATACCTGGTAATCTGAGTAACTGATATGAAGACAACAGTATGCAATATAACAACCATTGGTGAATTCCTACCATCTTGTCTACTGAAACTCTGTATTGTCCCTAATGTTTTTTAAAATTATTATTTTCTTGTTCTCTGTGATGGTTTGGTCAATCTTCCATTCTTGGGCTGGGGATTTAGCTTAGCAGCAAAGCGCCTGCCTGGCAAGCACAACGTCGTGAGTTCGGTTCCCGGTACCGGAGAAAAACCAAAAAAAAAAAAAAAAAATTTTCCATTCTTACATCTGGTAATCTGAGCAACTTCGTTGAAAATAACAATATGTAATATAACAACCACTGTTAATTCCTATCATTTGGTTTGAAACCCCATATCATTTTCAATGTTCTTGCTTTATTTTGTTTGTATTTTGCTATTTTTTTTTTCTACTATTCTCTTTAAAATAGAAAAGTAAAAAAATAAAAATAAAATCTCATAAGAATCATAGAGAAGCCGGGTGTGGTGGCACATGCCTGTAATCCCAGCACTCGGGAGGCTGAGGCAGGAGGATCATTGTGAGTTCGAGACCAGCCTCGGCTACAAAGTGAGCTCAAGGCCAGCCTGAACTGCATAGTGAGACCCTTTCTCAAAAAGACAAAAAAAAAAAAATCATAGAGAACTAAAAAAAGCCACATTGCCAAATCTGGAGAACTGTTTTCGACCAATTTTGGCAATATTGATCATGATGCTTTTGGTGATGGTGATACCTAACATACTGAGTGCAACCTGTGTGGCAAGCACTGTGCTGTGTGTGTTCTACCAATTTTTCTTCAAAATAACCCTCTGGAGGTAGAGCTCCAATTAAATCTAATCCCACAGATAAGGAAATTGAGGCATGGAGAGCTTAAAAACCTACCAAGGTCACACATCCAGTAAGTGGTTTACCCAAGATATGACCTTAAGTTTGTTTGTCTGCCAAGCTCAGATCTTAGCATCTAAACTTATTTATCTTCTAAACACTAATTTCTGAGTATTAAGACAATATCAAACAATTTAGAATAGGGATAGACAATAATCTTGAGCCAAATATGGTCATGTTTATTCACTCACCTATCATCTATGACTCTACCATAACAGAATGAAGTAATTAAAGAGACACTATGGGGGCTGGGGATTTAGCTCAGCGGCAAAAGCGCCTGCCTGGCAAGCGCAAGGTCGTGAGTTCGGTTCCCGGTACCAGAGAAAAACCAAAAAAAACAAAAAACAAAAACAAAAACAAAAAAAGAGACACTATGGCCTCCAGAGTTAGACATATTTATTCTCTGGTCTTTTACCAGAAAAAGCTTGCTAATTCCTGCCTTAAAGGGTGCTAAAGAACAGTTAAGGCACATATTTGGAAACTACATAGTCATATCCATGGAAGCACACTTGTTTAGAAATAGTGGAAGGTAAGGAGTCGAAGGAAAACACTTAAGCCATTTCCCTGCATTTGTCAAGCTCCCTAAGGTGTGGGCGAGGCAGTAGATGTCTTCTGTGGTACCCTACAAGGCAAACTAGGCTTTGTGAGCAGATGTTGCAAGGAGCAGAGCATTCAGAAAGTAATGGAATGAGCTTCCGAAGGTAGAGATTCTATAAAGGGATTGTAACACCATATTAACTGGATAACTCAGCTGTTCCTTCCCACTCTAAACTGACCTTTTCTGTGTAGAACACAAAGTACAGATCATGCTAACAAACAGATAACTAGGCTGTTAAAGCTTTCTGAGCATTAGAAAGAAAGTCTCATATGTAATGTACAGCTGAACTTGTCTTTGCTTAAGGGTTGTAGCAGATGATGAATGATACAGAGCTTCATTGTGAACATTCACAACCTTTCTGGTAGGGGTTCACCAGAGAGATCTGAGTGAACTTGCTGGGCAGTATACCCTTCTCAGACAGTGCAGCACAGCATTCTTTCATCCAACATATATTTCCTCAGAACTTTCTGAAGCCAAGTAATGCTCTAGGCATTTGGTATTTATCATTGAACAAAACAGACAAAATTCCCTGCCCAATAAACATAGTATATGTAAATTAAATGAGGTGGGAAAGAAGAATGTTAAGTGCTATCTTATTACATGTCAGTACTGTGGGAATATTTTTATGACTAGGATTTACTTCCTAGGGATCTACAGATATTCTGTTCATATGGAATGACATGAATGAGCCTTCAGTCTTTCGAGGGCCAGAGCAAACCATGCAAAAGAATGCCATTCATCATGACAACTGGGAGCACAGAGAACTTCACAACATCTATGGTTTTTATCAGGTGAGACATCCAAAAAGAAGCCAGCTGGACTCAGGTGCCCTGCCTCAGTGAGCTAAAGTTGTTTACTTTATAATAGCTGCATATATGCTTATGTCCCTGTGTGTCTTTTCTGACAACTACAGTTGAATCTCAGGTTATAACCAATACAAGACTTTATTATTTCTCTTTTTGTTTCTTTTCCTTCCATAATGAACTTGATGAACTTTTAAATATATTGTGAGATTAATGAAACATAGAAATATCTCTGTTCATAGGACCCATTAGTATACTGTATTTGATACTATCTCAAAATGTTACTAATGTAGGTAGTATATAAATATACTAACAAAGGTAATTAAAAACAAATGTTTTAAAATTTCACAAATATTCAAATACAGCAAGCCTGGCCAGGGATATAGCTCAGCAGCACAGCACCTGCCTGGCAAGTGCAAGGTTGTCAGTTTGATTTCTGGTACCAAAAAAAAAAAATACAACAAGCCTATCATTCATACCAAGGGAGCAAGATTGAAAATACAGATATGTAATTTCAGTAAGTATGCTTTTCAGATATAGAAAGCTTTCATTAAGGATTTACCCTTCTCAATAAATATGGTAGAATTGTATTTTGGGGCTGGGGATTTAGCTCAGCGGCACAGCGCCTGCCTGGCAAGCGCAAGGTCATGAGTTTGATTCCCAGTACCGGGGAAAAAAAAAATTTGTATTTTATTTGCCAGTCACATCATGTTGCAAGGAGCAGGGCATTCCAAAGAAATTGAAAATCACTTGCCATAATTTATACCCTTGGTTCTTTGCTATTTTCAGAATTTCACTGTATTCCCATAGCCCTCCCACCAATTGGATTTTCCAGTGGGAGCTGCTGACTAGAGATAGCATAGTTTTCAAGTAGTATGTGTTTATTTCTCTAACAGCCTGTTAGTACAACTGCAAACTGCTTTAGGTAGAGAATTGTCTTATGTAGCCAAAGCCAGCCATTACCCTCTTTGAATTTTTTTCACTAACAAAAAAGTACTTATCTCAGAGATTACTATAAGGTTATATAAGAATTATTATAAAATGCCTAGTAATAGTAAGCACTGAATAAACAAATAAGTGCAAGATGATTATTTACTATTATTTCTTTTTTTTTTTTTCAGTGCTGGGGATTGAACAAGGGCTTCACATATTCTAGGCAAGTGCTCTACCACTGAGCTACCTCACTAGTCTTGTTTTTCACTATTTCATTGAATCATCAATAAAAAGTTTCTTCATTCTTTGATAGGGGAAATAAGATTGGTTTCATTATATCATGAAAACTATTTGATGGATTTTAATGTTTTCCATTTCACATTCTCACCTATTTTTTTTTTTTTTTTTTTTTTTTTTGGTACTAGGAATCGAACTTAGGGCCTTACCCTTGCCAGGCAGGCACTTGTGCCACTGAGCTGTATCCCCGGCCCTTCTTTCACCTATTATTTACTTTACTTTTTGCATGTTAAATAGCTTATTGATGGTGTTGGCACAGTGCACTAAACGTATTGAAATTTTTCTCTATTGACTTCCTAGCAAATGGCTACTGCAGAAGGACTGATACAGCGATCTAAAGGGAAGGAGAGACCTTTTGTTCTTTCACGTTCTTTCTTTGCTGGGTCACAAAAGTATGGTAAGATGGCTGTATCATTAGACTGAAAAAGGGGCTGGGGATTTAGCTCAGCGGCACAGCGCCTCCCTGGTAAGTGCAAGGTTGTGAGTTTGATTCCCGGTACCAGAAAAAATCAAAAAACATAAATAACAATAGACTGAAAAAAAACAAGTTAACCACCTGTCTTTTTTATTTATTTATTTTTGTCTTCTTAAAGCACAGTCTCTATGCAGTTCAGGCTGGCCTTGAGCTCACTGCCTCAGCCTCCTGCGTGCTGGGATTACAGGCGTGTGCCACCGCATTGTTCTTATTTTTTTAATTTTAAAGAGAAAAGAACAAAAACAAAATAACAAAACAAAGGCATAAACAAATAAACAAAACAACATAAAAACAATAAAAATGACAGAATTTCAAAACAAGGTGATAGGAAATTAACAATGGTTGTTGTATTACATATCATTATCTTCAAAGTGGTTACTAAGATAACGAGATCTAGGCATGTAAGAAAAATTTAATTGAATTGTTTGATCACAAACAATGCTGCCTGTCTTTTTGATCATTTATATGCTGTCATTGTATTGATGATGCCCCTGAAGCAAGCTGCTGTTTCGTTTTATTTTGCTTGGTTTGGTTTCGTTTGGTGCTGGGGATTAAACCCAAGAAGTGCTGAGCTATGTCACAGCCCTTTTAAAATCTGTTGAGATAGGTCTCACTACATTATCCAGATACCTCAAACTTGATCCTCCTTCACAGTTTTTAGTTTGCTGACATGATCATCTCTGATCTTGTCCCTTGGATTGATCAAAACCAGGGAAATATACCTCTAACATATTCCTCAACCACCTGTTCTACTTAGTAATATGCTAAAAATAGACCTGGCTGTTGCTTGTGGTCCGGGTCATCTATAACTGGATACAGTTTGCTAGCTAATGTAGATCTAGTTCAACTTAATCACCCTGTGGTAGGAAGGCTATTTTAAGTCCCCTATTTTTGTACAAATAATGTATAATTATAAATAACTAATTTGAAGAACCCAGCTCTTACTATATCACAGATATTATTAGGCCTCCCACACAACCCCTGAAAACTAGCCCCTGTGATATTCAGCCGAAGGCCAAAGCATTATCATTGCAGACAATGATTCATGTACATTGATTCTCACCATAGCACTAGTCCTTGAAACAGAAACAGAGAGAGAGAGATTGAGAAAGAGAGAGAGACAAGAAGTAAATGAAGGCAGGAAAAGAAGAAAAGAGAGATCTAAAGATGTAACAAGCCAAGCCTGGTGGCACATGCCTGTAATTCCAGCACTTGGGAGGCAGAGGCAGGAAGATTGCTGTGAGCTCAAGGCCAGCCTGGACTACATGGTGAGTTTAGGACCATCTTGAACTACATAGTGAGACTCTGTCTCAAAACAAACAAAAAAAATGATAAAATAAAGATATAACAAAAGTGGTGTATCCACATAATACTATAATGAGTCTTTTCAAAATGTTAGCTTTAGTCAGATGTGGTGGGACACATTTGTAATCCTAGCACTTTAGAGGCTGAGGCAGGAGGATCACCATGAGTTTGAGGCCAGCCTGGGCTACATAGAGAGACCCTGCCTCAAAAAAACAACAAAAAAATGTTAGCTTTAATTGCATGAGAAAATGTTTATGACATCATGATAAATGAAAAAAGAATGGTATACATTTCCCAGTTTTATAAAATATAAATGTAAGATAGTAATTTAAATCAATAAGTAATAAACAGGTAAAATACAAAAAAATTAATACCTTGGTGGTTGTGCTTTTAATCTTTTTACCTATCTTTATTTTCCATACTTTATAGAAGTATCTCTAAAAATGTATTTGAATGAAAAAATTTCTAAGCAGCAGCTTTAAAGGATAACAGGGGATGTGACTATTACCTTTGGACTCTTCAGGGCTCACCCACTTCCTGTTCTTCAGGACTCTGTATGAAGCTATCACCTTTGCCCAGTGTGTGGCAAGACACTGTAGAGAACTCTCTTTTGTTTAGTCATATGCTGGATCCATAACCAGAGAGAGCTTCTGGCTAAGCAACCACACGAGACAGGAAAACATCTACGTGCTTATGTGAGCTTTCTCGAGAAAGTCACCAAGCAGATTTCAAAACTACTTTGTACATATATACATATCTCACTTGAAGTCAAGGAGAAATTACCAGAGCACTATTGAAAAGAACTATCTCTTGAAAATATTTTTCTTGGCAGGTTATAAGACACTCAAAATTTCTGTGGAAAATTAAAAATATTTACTAAAATTAATTTGATAGAAGATAGACAAAAATACCTTAGAATTACTTGAGATACAGTAAAATAAGATTTTTTCCTTTTACACATCATCTTAGTGATATATAATCTATCTTCACAGACTCTCACCAACTATAAAGAGAAGAATAACCCTGGGTTTGTAGCAAGACTGCCTGAATGTAAAACCTGCCTCAAAACCACTTAATGGAATATAGACCTAAGTTAAAAAGCTAAAACAAGCAAAAACACTTTAGAAGAAAATCTTTGTGAGTTTGAGATAGGAAAAGATTTCTGGGCTAGAACATAAAAAGCGTGAACCATAAAAGAGAAAAGTTATAAATGAGAATTCATCAAATCACTTCTGTAGTTGGCTAAAGTGGGTAGTTGTTGACTGCAAAAAAGCCTGAGAGAACTTTTCTAGTTTTGGGAATCTTCTGTGTCTTGTTTATGGTGGTACCTACATGGATATATGTGATTTTCAAAAGTCATCAAACTCTACTTAAAATAGGTATGTTACTGCACGTAAATTACATCTCCAAAAATTCCTCCTTGCTGGACATAGTGGGACAGGCCTATAATCCAAGCACTTGAGAGGCTAAGGTAGGAGGGTTGCAAGTATGGGCAACTTAGTTAGGCCCTCTGTCAAAATTAAATTGTTAGCCAGGAGTGATGGCACATGCCTGTAATCCCTGAACTTGGGAGACTGAGGCAGGAGGATCACTTTGAGGTCAAGGTCAGCCTGGGCTACAAAGTGAGTTCAAGTGCAGCCTGAACTGCATAGTGAAACCCTATCTCAAAAAAAGACAAAAAAAAAAAAAATTAAATTGTTTAGTAAAGGGGAATGGAGATACAGCTCAGTGGTAGAGCACTTGCCTGGCATGCACAAGACCCTAAGTTCAATCCTCATTACTTTAAAAAAATTCTCCTGTATTCAGACTTGCATTGTACTTCAAAAATAAGTACAAATTCAGCATATTTTCATAGCTTACTTTATGGAGTTTTATAAATTTCTCACATTAGAAAATTGGTACCTTTTTATTTTGGACAATTTAGAATTTACTTAAAGGTAAGATATCTGTTTTCCTTTTTATTAATTTGTCTCTTACAAATAAGGAATCAAAATATGAAATTGAGTGCATGGGCTGATTTGCATTTTTTTTTAAATGCTTTGTTACTGGTGACCAAGGTGCAGTGTGGACAGGCGACAACACAGCAGAATGGAATTACCTGAAAATTTCCATCCCAATGTTACTCACTCTCAGCATTACTGGGATCTCTTTTTGTGGAGGTAAGACAAGTCCTGTCCTAAGGCTTGAAGTGTGTTTCTGTCAAAGCGGGTTACCGACCACCTGTCATTAGCTGTTTGAGGCAGGGATAAATGTGGGAAAGAGAAAATGGCACAAAGTGAAAGCAGGTTACAGAGGAGAGAGAAAGAAGAGCTGCAGGTTTGCTTGTGTCTTGTCTGGATTGCAGACACAAAAGGAGGTTGTCAGAAGTGCTTCCTTCCCTTATTTTCTTACCACTTCCTCCTGAGACACTTGATTACTAAGTTTCTCTTCCTGAAACATATTGGGTATGACCAGAATATGTGTTTACATTTTTAAAAGTTATTACAGTAACAGACCCATTGTTGTTAATTCTCCTCAGCATACTCCCCCTTGCTTTGAGCACACCTGTCTCACCATTCTTGCTACTTTCTGAAGCAGTTCTGGAAGTCCTCTTTCATGAGTGTCTTTATAAGATATAATAAAAAATATAGTGAATGCTGCTACCTAGCACCATACAATAGGAAGGAACACTTAATGTGTCCTTGCCCACTTTACTCACCAGATCTGGCACCGTGTGACTTTTGGCTCTTCCCCAAAGTCAATTGACCGTGAAAGGTAAATGTTTTGAATTGATTGAGGACATTGAAGGAGCCACAACACAACTAGAAACACCAATGAAAGAGGACTTTCAGAAGTGCAAGAAGGGCCGGGCATGGTGGCGCACACCTGTAATCCCAGCACTCGGGAGGCTGGGGCAGGAGGATCGAGTTTGAGGCCAGCCTGGGCTACAAAGTGAGCTCAAGGCCAGCCTGAACTGCACAGCGAGACCCTGTCTCAAAAAGACAAGAAAAAAGAAAAAAAAAGTAGCAAGAATGATGGGATAAGTGTTGTCAAAGTGAGGAGGAGTGTTTTGAGGGTGTTAATGGCAATATGCCCATCTTGGTCACTGCTTTGTCACTGGGACCCAGAGGGGGACTTACTGTGTCTCAGGTTTTCAGTCCATAGTCTTCTGGCTCCAGGGAAGGATGCCTTGGCAGAGGGGCATCGCAGAGGAAAATCCACTCACATGGCAGTGAGAAGGCAGAGAGTCAGGGGAGGAGCCTGGAAGGGGGAGCTCTGACCAGATCCCACCTCCAGCAGCAAGGCAGCTACAGTGCTGCATAATCCAATCATCTCCCCAAACACGAGGCTTTGGGGACCATTTTAATTCTAAACTATCACAGTGTCTTTTACTACAATAAAAAAATTTTTTTAAACACTCACTGTATTTTTTAATCACAGCTTGTATTTTTTTCTTGAAAGTGAGACAATAGAATAAATTACAAAGAGTTTATCAAATCAAAAGTTAACCTCGGGTAGGGGATAGAGCTCAGTGGTAGAGCACTTGCCTAGCATGCTGAGTTTAATCCTCAGCACTGCAAAAAAAAATTAAAAGTAAGCTTTAGAGAAATCCTTTCCACTTAGCAGATTCAAAATCCTGTGACATAATTTAACTTTTTTAAAGATATACTCTTGAGAAAAATAAATTTAGTTAATTGTCTCTGATGAGCAGGCTTCCCCAGATCCTGAGATCTGCAGATGGAGATAGTAAGGTGAAAGGTAGTCAGGGGCTGGGGATTTAGCTCAGCGGCAAAAGCGCCTGCCTGGCAAGCGCAAGGTCGTGAGTTCGGTTCCCGGTACCGGAGAAAAACAAAACAAAAAAAAAACAAACAAACGAAAGGTAGTCAGTATGGCCACAGTTCCAGATGCTTCTTGTTTTCTGTAGGAATAGAAACAATTAAATCACTTTATTGATACACAGTTTGTTTGTTTTGTTTTTAAGGGAGGAAAGGTTTATTTGGCTTACAGTTCATAGAGGTTTCATAATCTGCTGGCTCCAAGGCAGAGTGGCACGTGGCAGACAGGCATCATCGCAGAGGAGAGACAGTTCATGGCGGCCAGAAGGTAGCAGAACAAGCAAGGGAGAAGAGAAGACAACCCTCTTTCTGTCCCTTATGTTGTATCCAGGCAACCAGGATTAGGGCGGTGCCAAACCAAATCAGCGTACTGATTTAATAATCACACACTCTCAGTCCCAGCATCACCCACTCTAAATCCAGCCACCTCTGAAAAAGCCCCACTTGTGACTGCAGGAGGCTTTGGGTGGACAGCTAGACACAAGCTATAACACAAAAGGATTGTTATTTAATTTTTTTTGAGAGACAGGATCTTAACATGCAGTCCAGACTGCCCTTAGTCCTAGTGCTCCAGCCCCAGCCTCCTGAGTGCTAGGATAAGAGGTATGTGCCACCACACCCAGCAGATTTTATGAGGAAAAGGGAACATGAGGTACTGCACAGGAAAGGTGTGTAGTGACCTTCAGGGGATGTTTTTTCTCTTAGTTGGACATTCCCATGATTGCAAATCACCTTCAGCTCCTGCCAGTCCTTAGTCCTTTAGGTAAATACAGTATCTTCAAGCAAGTTAATCCTCGTGCTCCTCTTCTTCTTTATGGTACTGGAGGTTGAACTCAGCTGTGCTTTACCACTGAGTTACATCCCCAGCACTTGTGTTTTGAGACAAGACCTCACAGTTGCTCAGACTGGCCTCCTGACTCCACTACTATTACAGTGTTCTTTTAGTTAGAGAACAGAATTAGCAAGCCCTGGCCCATAATTTGATTGCATTTGAAGATCACCAAGTGTTCTGGGTTTGGAAAAACTAAAGACAGATTAGTAGTCAGGGGTCCAGGGACCAGTGTTTCTTCTGTTTGTCCCCTTTCTGTAATAGTTGATTCTAGTATTTAATATCAGCTGTTTTTTTTGAGGCCGGATCTCACTATGTAGTTCAGGCTGGTTTTGAAGTCACTATGTAGCTCAGACAGGCCTCAGGAGAATGTGACGACCTCACTGAGTTCTGGGATTACAGGTGTGGGCCACCATACCTGCATATTTATTTCATTTTTTTGAGACAGGGTCTCACTATGTAGCCCAGGCTGGCCTTGAACTCACTATGTGGCCCAGGCTGGCCTTGAACTCACTGTGTAGCCCAGGCTGGACTGGAACTCTTGGCAGTCCTCCTGGCTCCAAGGCAGGGTAGCATGCAGAGAGACCCAGAGGAGGAGAAATTGCTCATGGCAACAGGAAGCAGAAAACTACAATATGTGTTTCTATGGCATTGGTCCACATACTATATAAGAAATATATACCCTGCTCAAGGGCTTAACATGAAATTCTACCAAAACCTCTAATTCTATTTGTTTGTCTCTATAGTTCTTTAAGTTTTATTTTTTTTTTTTTTACAAAGGAAAGGAACACCCTCTTCTCCCACATATACATGCATGTGCGTGTGTATGCACACACACATACACACATTTAATCAGGCCAATATCATGCAATTTCTGGGTAATGTGGCTTCAGGAATATGCAGGAGTGTCCATTTCACAGTTAAAGCCTGGGACCTATTGACAAGAAAGGAATATTCAAAGAGTGCTCTGCCAGATCCCCAGAGGGGCTGTGTTCTGTAACATGTACTCCCTCGTCTGAGGCTGCAGCTTTGTCTTCTCATTCGAGTGTGCATGTGGCACCTTCCTCTTGTCAGGTCTCCAGGGCCTTATTTCACTTGTGTGTGTCTCTGATTTGAAGCCTGGTTACCTCACGTGGCCTTTCTTTACCTAACCAGCTGATGTGGGGGGCTTCATCGGGAACCCAGAAGCAGAGCTGTTAGTTCGTTGGTACCAGGCCGGGGCCTACCAGCCTTTCTTCCGTGGCCATGCCACCATGAACACCAAGAGGCGGGAACCCTGGCTGTTCGGGAAGGAGCATACCCAGCGCATCCGAGAAGCCATCCGAGAGCGCTACACGCTTCTGCCTTATTTGTATTCTCTGTTCTACCAAGCGCATGTGGCTTCTGAACCTGTGATGAGGTGAGAAAGCACCCTGCAGGGCTGAGGACGAGCTCTGTGATAGAACACCTGCCTAGAATGGGTGAGGCCCTGGGATACACACAGACAGCAGTAATGCACCAAGGCTGCAGGGTTAGTGGCTCCTAATGAGTTAGATCAGAATCTCCTGGGAGTGTTTTAAAACTGTAGACTTCAGTAGCCATACTCTAAAACCCTTGTAGGAATGTTCTTAGGTAGGTCTTAGGGATCTGCATTTGTGTTTCCCTGTGAGTATAGGCATTGGCCGGGTTTAGCAATCACTGCTTTGTTACCACTCAGAATGAAAATAATATGTTATTACAAAGGCTAGTGACTAAAAATACTTGTCTTATTAAACATGTCTTTTCCTCATAAAATTGAAAAATGACTAGAACCATTAAATTGCTATCCAGATACACAGATATTGAAAGGTCTTTTATCTTCTATGAACCCAAATGCCTTTGAGACAGTTGTGTGAAAAAACAATCAAAAAAGAATACTGAGCAGTTTCTCAATTTCCCCAAAATATATGTAGTAAAATTCCTTTTTTTTTTTTTTTTTGGTTTTTCTTTTTTTTCCTGGAACCGAACTCACGACCTTGCGCATGCCAGGCAGGCACTTTTGCCACTGAGCTAAATCCCCAGCCCCTGTAGTAAAATTCTTTTCACTTAAATATAT